ACTATAACATCTGATTTACATTTATAGGAAGTGAATATTCTAACTTGAGAGTGTTAAAAGCTATGGTTTTTGCGGAGAGTGCTATAGAATTATGTCAATAAAAGTTCCCTGTTTAAAAAACTTTAAATATTCTTTTAAAAATTGAAAGGGAGCTCAAACTATATACCGAAAGTAAAGCCCCACTTCACTCTACTCCTGGCCCCCACTTTCTGTCCCTGTTGTGGGGAGGCAACTGTCAACAGCTGAGCCTTCTTAGAATAGGGTTTAGATGATTCACATTCTCACAGGACTGTGTGTGAGATCATGTGGACCTCGGGACAGACCACAAAAAAATGTGATTCAAACCACATTCCTTTCAGAGATCTCCAGGCAAGTTTTCCAGCAGAGACAAAGGCTATAAACAGAATTAGCTTTCCAGGAATGTCTTAGTGGAGGAAACCAAATACCACGGGAATCCACAGATGTTTTGGCCGCGTTCCCTGCCCCCTCCCTGGATTCACCATGGTGGCAATACCATGGTGAATTGCCCAGCCTGTCCCCGGTCCCTGGGCCCCTCCCATCATGGGGGAGGCCACTGGGCCCTGAGCCTTCCTGAGGCTCGTAGCTGTCTGTGCCCAGGATTCTGAGCTCCGCAGGACCCCAGAAGGCTCCTCACCCTGTGCAACCTGAGCACCTGCTTCTACTGAAAGAATCTGCGGTGGTTTATGGGCAAGCTGGGCCACTAACAAGGTTGGCTGCCTGCTGTAAAGGTAAAATAAAATCCCAGCGCACGGGTTGGTGTGCGCACATGGCCTGGAGAAGGCTGCAAAGCCTAGACTGCTCCCAGATGTTTCCACAAAGATAGCTTCCTGCGCGGCGCTTTTCCAAAGCATTTCTCTCGGTGAGGGAGTCAGCGCCGTGGTTAATTCTGGTTCAGGCCTGTGTGTGGCAGCGTGTCAGTCCTTCGGGGAGAAGTGGCTCAGGTCAACGAAAGGAGGCTCACAGTCACGTGTTGACGGCTGTCACGAAGGAGTAAAGTACACCGAGGGGCCCTGGACTGCCTTTTAAGTAAAGGAAAGGGGCTCACCCGCCCCCCAGAACACGCAATTATATACTTGGAGGCAGGGGGATAACTTCGGTAAGTTCTAATAAACTCAGCTTGACTTCTAAAGGTCTGATGCATCCATTTCTTTATGAAAAAACTGAGCCAAAGAGTTCAGTTATGTGGACAGAGGCTTTGAACTGTAGGAGGAAGGGCGCCATCTGTCTCCTGTTGGTTCTGTTGTTTTGGACAACCCTGACTGACAACAATGATCCCAACATCTGGGGATTAGAGAAAAGCCTAGCTCCCTCCCCATTCCAATCCCTGAAGAATCAAATAAGCCAGGTCCTCGTGTGTCTTCAGGCAGAATCTGTGATCACCGAGCGCTTTCTCTGTAGTACCCATGCTGTGTGTAGACGGTGTGACTTTGTCAGCCAGTGATACGATTTTCATCCACCCTAACTTTGTGGGCTCGAATGGGGTGGTTGGCCCAAGTCAGCCTTTAAGTAAGCAAGGAGCTTTCTTTTACCAAAGATGCTATCTTAGCTCACCTCCATTCTAGCCAGAGGACTCACACTCAGAAAAGCACCCTTCTCATCAAATGATGCCTAACAGATATGTACTGATTAGCCTTAAATTAAAATGAAATGCCTAAGGCAACATTCCCTGTTTTTTCCTTATTCAACTAACCTTTCAGCTATCAGAACCCATCGTACCTACTATGCTGATTCAATTAGATTTAAACATTTTCATGCCATGAGTCTGCTCCTGAAACATTTTTCTTGGTAAAAGGTAAACTAAGCCGACTATCCAGATAACCAGAAATTTCCAGATTTGTTTGAATTAATATGATATATTTCTTTCAAGAAACAACTTTTCTTTTGGAAATCTGAATCAGGGATTTCTAAAGCGTGAAAACAAAACCCAGTAAGCCTGGACCGATGACAGAAGACCAGGTTTGACTGCAGTGAATCACCTCTGTTTTATCATGTAACAGCCCTTCCATCTGGAATCTCTGGAGAAAGTGTTGGGAGCCACATACAAGCCACATAAATGTTTATATTTTCATCAAGAAATTTTGCATCTTGATTGAAATCTTTATTCTCCTTCAGAAAGAGCAGCCGGGACCTGGAAGCTGGCATTCCGCCCCCAACCCCCAACCTGTGCCGCTCTGTGCCCATGGCTTTTGGAGAGGGTACCAAGATCTCAAGCCAATTTAGTCTTAATCCTTTTTGGATGCACATTTCCCAGAATAACACTGTAATCTGAGAGCATTTTCTTTCAATATTTTGGCAGTAGAGACATGCTTGAATCCGTGGTTTAAACAGGTTATGAATATGTGTTTTGTAGATTAGGAAAATTCAGCTGGTGGTGATGCTTCTTAAAGACTTATGGACGTGCATGACAGGCCCGGAAATGGTTACTGATGCTTTATAGACCCATGAATGAAAGCAGGTGGGAAGAGTGTTTTAGCTGAACTACACTGCATCGCATTTGGCAATGATTTTTCTGGGTTCCAATGCCTTCTCATTCATTCCCTTGTAGGAATACAGAATTTCAACCTTTTAAGAAAGATCCCTTTTAAATCTCAGTTTACCTTAGGGCCAGTCCATTGGCTTCACCAAATCTCCATCTGCTGTGTTACACATGTATGCACGTGGAGACCCTCTCCTGGGAAAAATGAGTTAACCTTGGTTTGGTCCAAGTCGGCAGGATAGGCTACAGGCGGAGGGTACAGGTGGCATAAATATGGAGCAGGTCTCAATGGCCAGAGCTCTTTTAGTGAAAATAAGTGATGCCATTTGTTAGGATAAACAAGTCCAAGTCTCAGTGAAAAAAAAAGAGCTCCTCTCTCACTGCTCGCTCCGTGTCGTATTGGTGAAGCAGAGAGAGGTCCAAGCCCTCGGGCTCACTCAGTCAACGGGTGCCACCACCGCCTTGGGCTTCAGAATCCGCCAGGGGTCCTCTATATTTTGGTGGAAATGGGTAAAGAGGGTGAGCGTGAAGGGTCTGGTGGGAGATTTTAGAGGCCAGGCCCAGAAGTGGCCTTCGCCCACCGCTGTCCACACGCCATTGGCCGGAACTCAGGTCCCACGGTCCCGCCTCCCTGCAAGGGGGCTGCGGAGTCAAGCAGCGGGCCCAGGAAAACGAGGTGGCACGCGGGTTCTGCTGACACTCGTGTTCCGTGCCACGCGCTGAAGGCCTGGAAAGGGGAGATCGTTGAAGGCTGTGCCGTACCAGCGGGGAGGTGAAACACACCATGTTTCCTGTTAGCGTGTTAGATGCCAAGCACCACCCCAGACACTTCCTTACGGCTCTTCGCTCCCCGTGCACCGCCCGCCCGCCCGCGGCCTCACACTTTGGACTGGGTGGGTTTGTGTCTTGCCTGGCGTTTCAGGCATTCCGCTTGGTGTGCTTGCTCGCCCTGTCCCCTCAGGAATTTGGTCGACATGGGGGCAAGGGATCAAGTGTAGCTTTAAGAGCGCGTGGAAAGTCTTTTATACCTGGAAAGAAACAATGAGAAATACCTGTGCACTAACTAATACCTAATTTATTATAAAGTTACACATTTCTAAGCCTAGCTTTTATAAGTTTCTAAATTAAATTTGAATTTCATTTTATTCTATTACGAAATGAATACTATCAGTAAAAATGTGAATAATCTCTTTGGTTATGATCAGTGTTGATTTAATGTACAAATTAACCGATGAAGTCATTTTTAGACCAGAGACCCTCCCCACCATGGGAGGGTAAGTTGCTGCCCCTCCAGGTCACAGAGGAACACGGCGGTGTTCCCACAGAGAGGCACTGAACATTGTTTCTCTGCTCTAAGTTAATCACATTTCCAAGTAAACACTTTAAGTGCCCGAGAGGGCTAACTGTGTGTGAGTGTGTGTGTATGTTTAATTTTTATTAATAAGAATTCTGAGTACAATTAACCATTTACCCTGACATTTAGGGGGAAAAAAAGATTCTCTAAGGTTTGCTCCTGAAGAAAAAGGTGTTCTGTCCATTTTAATATCCAATTTTAATGTTTAACACCATTATGCTTCTAAGTCTATAACTTAATTTTAGGCTTAATTTGAATAATTTGTATTCTGTTCTGTTGCATCTGATTAAAGAGACTAGAAAACCAGTAGGAAAAAAGCAAGAGACTAAATAAAATGACCTGAATATAAAACCTGACTAAGACTTTTAAAAACATTTTTAAAACAAACAAACTCCGCCCCCCCACCCCGCAAACTAGAATACTTTTGGCAGAAAAAATTAGCAGCAATGAACAAAGTTAATATTTACATAATAAATTTAGACAAAGTACTTTCTCTGCCTGGATACCAGTTACACATATTGTTACTGGACTGGTGAACCAGAGTGGGAGGTGGCTTTTAACCTATGTGAGAATTTGAAAAGACCCCAAATGAACATGCCTGTATAAGTCCAATTTTGTATAGCTGAAGTTTTAGGGAAATTTTAGTGTTTGGAAATGACGTGAGAGAGAGATCTTGTGATTCCGAACTCTTGGGTTAGGTTCATGGTAAGGTTCCTTTCATTGGTAAAATATCATATAAATGTGAAATTATTAAAGAATAAATGGTATTTATGGTTCCAGATAATGAAGGATTAGCAATTTCAGTGTCACATTTTATCAGTGACTTTTAATGAAGAGTATGTGGTTTGCTGATAAATATTAAGGTGTATTGTGAGAAACTGAAAACTCTTAAAATGGCAACCCTTTTGCTCTGCCAGTGGCAAAATAGTACGTCAAAAATATCTGTCCTCCTGTCTCTGTTTATGGTTAAGAGGCTCAGTAGCTCAATTATTTACCAACATTAAGAAACAGGAATAAAATTCTAAGAATACAGTAGTATAGAGAGGTAAAATAATTTGTGAACATATATAGACCTTTATCTTTTAAATACACATTTTATATTTATTCTGAAAAAGTAACTTTGCTATTGTTTTGTGGCTTTTTCCTCAGATGTTTTAAGAAAAATAATACAAAGGAAGTTTGACCTCTCAACTGATTATGAGAAGGTAATTTTTATTGATGTATTTGTTATTAAAGTAAGTATGAACAAATTTTGACTAACTTGGAAGTAAATCTTGAAACAACTGGTTATGTAATCTGTGAATTTAGTAATCTTTTTTTACTAAGAACTTCTAGGGAATATTGAGACACCTTATAAATCTCATTTGAACTACAGCAAAAATTACAAAAGGAACATTTAGAGAAAGATTCATATTTCAAGTTGTATGATGTTTAAAAACTAAAATTTCCTTAAAGAAAGTTTTATGCTACATTTTTAGCTAAGGGAGGAGAAGTCCCTAAGTCAAGTTGACCCTTGAACAGTGTGGGAGTTGGGGTACCAACCCCCGTGCAGTCAAAAATGGGTGTAGAACTTTTGACTCCCTAAATCCTTAATTACTAATAGCTGTTAAACTCAAGAAGAGTCTGGAAGCTTTTTTAGAAATAATGACAAAGATTTATTCATGAGTCTTAGAGTTTGCAAACTAGCACACAACTAGGCAAAACCCCTACGTGTCCCAAAGAAGAAAGAAAAGTTCAGAGTAGTTATAGTAAAGTCACCTTCCTGAGACTGATCAGTCTTACATTTGTAGCCTCCAGACTGGTCTGAGGTGGTCTGGGTACATGAACAGCCTCTCCTTAGTCCTTCAGGGGTAGCCAGAGGCTTGATGTGTATCCAAGCATTGACACAGGACTTGAAAGTTCAAAAGTTCAAGTTCCCAGGCTGGTTAAAACAAGAACAGAATCATTTCCTTATACCTCAACCTACTTGATTTTAGTAATTTAACAGCTTGACTATTTATAGCTTCACTCTCATCCCCATAGCCGACTGTTGGCCTTACCCATAACATAACCAGTTGATTAACACACATTTTGTACATTATATGTATTATATACTGTATTCTTACAATAAAGTAACCTAGGAAAATGTTATTAAGAAAATGACAAAGGAAGTACATTTATAGCACCATGTGTATTTATTAAAAAAGGTCTGGGTATGAGTGGATCTGTGCAGTTCAAACCAGTGTTAAGGGTCAATTGTAGAATTGTTTGAATGTCTCTAGAAATAGGGATGCATACTTTTTTTTTTTAAAGATAGTTTGTCAAAAAGTAGCTTCCCATTTGAACACTGTTTTCTGAGCACTCTGTGTGTGCACGTGCCTAGCATTGGAGGGGAGATGGAGATGAGGAAGATAGCGCAGGGGCCTCAAGAGACTAAGAACCAGATGGCCAAGAAGGAGAGGAAGGAAACAGTAGATTTATAAGTAATATACAGAGGAACATAGAGACAAAAACAATTCATCATGACCAGAAGTTCTCCTGTGAGGAGGTGACTTCCAGGCTTGTTGTGAAAAGGGCGAGCAGGGCTGGAGTAGGCGGGGCGGTGGCCTTGCTGGCGGTCCAGGCTTTGGGGAGCACGTGAGTCATGAGACAAGGTGTGGAAGAAGGAAGTTCATGCACAGAGCTAGCAGATGAGGAGGGAAAGGAGGGGAAGGTGAACGGGGTCTGGTCACTGGGGGGTCTTGAATACCTCGCTGTGATTGCTGGACCGTATTTTCAGAAAATATCGAAGTGCCTTGCGTGTCTCTATTTAATGCCAAGATATTCATAAGTCACTCTGTTGGCATCTGTGATTGACCACCTGAACAGAAGAACATGTTTTATTGATTTTGGTTTATGATGAGTATAGAGTGCCGGCAAAACAAACAACTGTTTGTTGCATTGAATGTTAGGAAAATAAAAAAATAGTCATATGTATGTATCAGGTTCTTAGTCCTGAGGGTCAGGCACTTTGTTCTCTCCTTCCCTGGTACAAAGATGGTTGTCAAGACAACAGTAAAAGCAGCTGGAGTTGGGCTGCCACTGTGTGTGTGTGGCAGGATTCTTGGTTGGGCGGGTCCTTTGTTGGCTTGACGTGAAAGCTGGAGCTACTGTAAAAGTGCTGCTCTTTTGTTTTTGATTTTTCTTCCCCCATCAGGTGCCTTTGCAAACTGATAAAAACCATTGGCGTGGGGGCAGAGAGGAGAGAGGGGACAGGACCGCGCCTGCATGAACGAACTGAATCCTGCCCTAGGTGCGGATTGGGTCACAGCTTCCGCAGTTATGCCGGGAAGAGAGAGTTAGTTAAGCAAAGACGCCAAAGGAACCAGGGCACTTGGGAAGGCTTTCAGTCTGATAAGTGCCACGTGTGTTAGGTTTGATTTCCCCAGCGCAGACTCTGAGGCCAGGACTCCAGGCAAGTCATTTGTTTGGCAGGTGCAGGGGCCGATGGAGGGGAAGTGGAAGGTGACGCGGGGAAGGGGAGGGAGGGCAGCCTGTAAAGGCTGTGCCATTATGCCCCTGGCCACAGGGGCAGCTAGAATTGCTGTCTGCGTCCAAGTAGGCCCGTGGGAAGGGTGAGGGAGCTGAGTCTGAACACCAGCACTGTGGAGACCCTGGTTAAGGGCTGCGTTTGCGTGTGGGCGAGAGTGTTAGTCCCTAAGCAAGTCTGGCCTATGGTGCTAGAAGACACCTTCAAGCACAGAGTTATAGGTGCCAGAAGTTAGAAGTCTGAAGAGGCACGCCGCAATGGCTAAGGTCTGAGGGACATGGGTGGGCACCAGTGGCATCTTCTATACGGTCCCGTGCCCTCTGGCTTGTTAATTAGTTCAGTCACACAGGTAAGATCTGTCTAGGTGAGTGTCCTGGGGAGTCTTTTTAGCTCTCATGGCCTTGAGCTCAATGTGTCATCTTCTGGTGAGCCTCAGCTGGCTGAGGAGCCAGGGCAGCTGAGTCAGTGACCTTCCACTGTGGGGGCTCCATCAGTGACCTTTCTCTGTCAGGACTTAGGGGCACTCAGCAGTGCAGACCCTTTGTCCCAGGGAAGTAACTCCCTGTCACAGAACTGCCTCCTTTCTGGACTTAAGCAGAGAATTAAAAGTAGTGCTTTATGACCCTTGAGTGCCTTTTCCTCCGTGGCATTTTAAACATATTTTCTCTCTTTTCTTTAATGTGTTTATTGAACTGACATTTATTTAACTCCCAGAGCAGTGCCAGGGAAGGGGACAGACCGCTACTCCAAGAACTCACGGTTGGGGAAGGTGAGGCTGCAGGATAAGATACATGTGTGGATGTTAAGGCAGAGATTACATGGCCAACCGACTCACCCATTCAGTGTTGGGGTCGGTTGGCACACCCAGTGTGTGCCAAGCCCTGTGCTCAGGGTTCAGAAATGAGCCCTCTCGAACACAGCCAATGTTGCCGAGCTCCTGAGTCCATTCCCTGGGGGACAAGAGAGTGCGGGCGAGCCCTTCCCAGCTTTTCCTCATGCTGACTGACCATAAACAAAGGAAAAAAAAAACATAGCATCACCCACCTGACGTGCTCACGTGGGGTCTCTGCAGAGAGAGGGTCTCAGCCTAGCTTGTAAAGTGAGGGCTGCTCGTCTAAATAACAGAACACATTTCCTATCCTCAAAAAATGCATAGTTTGGGGCGATTCAGGGAAATGACTTCTTATTACTTCCCACCAATCACCCATCGGTGCCGCCCACATGTCTAGAAACCTTTTCGGAGGGCAGTGTTCCCAGCACCCCCCACCACCTGCCGCCTTTTCTGTTCTGAGTGTCGCGGTTAGTAGGAATGGCGGGTTTCCTCAGAATGGCCTCCTAAATTAGTATCCAGGTGGTCACGGTTCATCATCCCTCCAGCCTCAAAATGATGTTCGTACCTCCCTCATTCACTTCCCTCCTCAGTCACTCCCTTTCCCTTCTTGAAGCTTCCTGGAGGGGGGCAGGTGTAGGGCCTGGGACCTCTTCCTGCTGCTTCTCATGGCCTCACCAAGCACTAATGGTCGTGGGATATCGATTTGGCACTAGGTAAACATCAGGTCATTGTTCCAGGTGGGTGTGTGAGGTTTGGGAAAGGTGAGTTAGCTCCGTATTTCCTGCTGTCCGAGAGTGTGATGACTTGCTGCCCGTAAGAACATGCTGTCCTGTCAGGTAAGGAGCGTATCTCCCAAGGGTCTCCGGGGGCGTGTATATGGAGAGCAGCATGAGCCCTTGACCAGGATCATCACCTGGGCTCACTGGGGCTCAGAGATGAGAATAACACTGACGTGCATCGATTATTGTTTCTTCTTATGGATTGAATCTTCCTCTGACAGGCTCTGGTCTGAGTGCTTCACTGTGTTCGCCCACTTAACATACATTAAATAGTACCTATAAAGCGCTTAGAACAGAGTAATGCACAAAACAGGTCGCTTCTCACTGTCTCTCAGGTTGTCTTTGCAATACCTGTATAAAATAGGCTCTCTGCTCATCCCCCTTCTGTCGCTAAGGTGACCAAGGCCCTGAGCAGCGTGGTACCAGAGCCTAGACCTGACCTCAGGGATTCTGAGGTAGCTGGTCAGGGCTGAGCATTGCCTGATGTTTTTCAAAAGGTCCCTGGGTGACAGTAATGGCCATTGATTGGAGCAGGGATGCGCAGACAGTGCGGAAGCCAGGATGCAAACCGCTGCATCGCGCAGGTGATAACCTCCTGTCCGCGTGCCACCGGCACAGGCAGAGAGAAGGCACATGTGCCCCCAGCTCCGTACCGGAGGGGCGTCGGTACCCTATGCAACACGTCCGACCAGGCTGACGTCGGGGGGAGTTAAACACAAACAGTCGGCTGACTGGTGTGGCTCACAGGCTGTTCTGCCCTGGCGGCAGCCCGGCATGGTCAGCCCTGGGAGCCAAGGGCAGGCTTCCCGGAATTACCTACTCATAGCCATGACACAGGGCCGCTTTAGAGTAGATGCCTGCTCCTACCCCAATCTCCCGACACCCACTTCGGGGTAGGGGGAGCCTGAAATCACTGTTTTGCACAGGCACTGTGGGGATGCTCAGGGGAGTGAGTTTGTTCGGGGGAGGTGTCAAGCCTGTGGGTGGCCTCCCCCAGGAAGGGGGGGTCATGGTCATTCTGGGGCAGAGGTATCTGAGTTGCCCACGCCAACATTTTGGATTCCTCATTCAAAAGTTGTTAATATCACAAACGTTTTTCTTTCACATCTGTGCAAATCTGCCATCTAAAACAATACCTTCCAAGCTTGGGTTGTTTGGACCTGACAGTTTTAAAAAAGTAATCTGGGAAGTGATAAAGAGCCACCTAATTTTATTTTGCCATGTAAGGACATTTATTAAGTCAACCCTAATGACTTTGTTCACCTTTGTACCCGTTTTACCTCCCTCCTCCCCCAAAAGATAGTCTGATGAATTGAGCAAATTTTTCTATGTCATAGCGGGTTGGTCCATCCCCATCAGCGACAGGACCAGTCCCTGCCTCTGGACCGCTCTTCAGGAATCGCTGGTCTCAGGCAGCGGCTCCTACCCCCTCAGCTCGTCAGTGTATCTGATTCTGATGGGCAACGGCTGTATGCTCGGTCCCAGGCTGGGCTCTGGGAGAAAAAGCTGAGTGTCACTGTTGGGGTTCTTGGTCTCCCGGAGCGTACAGTGCAGCCGGTCACTCTGAGTGGGGTAAGTGCTGTGAACGGGCAAGTACAGGACTCCAAGGCAGCACGAAGGAGGGTTGTAAAGCAAACCCGGGCTATCAAGACAGACTTCCTGGAAGGAGAAACAGCCCAGTAAGGATGTTAAGTTTCATCAGGGGATGCTAATAGAGACACTATTCTAAACAAGGAGAGGACACGAGGGAGCCCAGAGTGGGGATGAGGAGAGCGCAGATGCTTTCTGGAGAAGGTAATGGTCAGGAAGAATGGGGACTTGAAACCAAGATCAAACAATACTGGACCACATTAAGTCTGAATGAAACATGGCGGAGATTCATGGGATGCTCTTAAGCCAGGCAATGACACCGTCAGATTTCCATCTCAGGAAGGACCCGTTGGCAGGTGTTGCCTTTGGCTCTGGGGTTCTAGGCAGCCGCTGCTTCTCAGTTTCATGAGGACCACGTGGCTAGTGTGTTCAGCATTGGTACCTTTCCTCCTCACTCCTGTGTCCATTACTGATTAGCATACTGATTCAAAACCTTTCAAGAAATTCAAATGTGAATTCAAATATAAGTTCTAGTACTTGATCCTACTCAAAACCCTCTCCCTTTAATAAACACTCAAGTTTTGTATTTCTGTCTTGTGTTGCTCTTTCTCCCATTTGATTTTGTCTGTGGCTGATCACTCACTTAACTGTTTCTGTTTTCTTGATGCATGCTGCCTCTGCCTCCCACGAACTCAACTGCTTTGACTCCCACAGCCAGAAAATGTGGTCTTGACTCTGAAGGTAAACTCCTTGCCCGCCCTTTCTCGTTGCTCTGTCTGACGCCAGCATGTCGTGTAAATGTAATGCTTTTGTTATAATTTTCTATTCTTCAGTCATGTCCACTATAATGACCCTTAAATTCTTTGTGTCACTTTTGTTTCTGCCATTGTCTTTAGTCTTCTTTCAATTGTAGTAGTTCATGGAAGAAAAACGACTCATCGCAGCAAATTTTTGATCTTCCCTTGGCAATTCACAAAGCCCTCCAGAAGTCTCAGGCTTTCAGGAGGTCGTTGGGGTCCTGCCAGATGCTGGCCAGACTCCAGCCTGGAAGTCAGCCTTTGAAATGACATTTCTTGACATCATATTTAGTCAGTAACATTGGAAAGCTTGTATATCAAATACAAAACTTGTGTGTGGAGCTAAAGAGTATATTTAAAACATTTCAATACACTTTCCCTACTGGGTTTGGGTTCAGTGTTTCTTAAGATTCAGAGAGGATTTTAAATTCCTTGAAAAATAGTAAATAATTTAGAATATTTGCTGAGAAATGATAGCAAAATGGATATGTAAGAGTTGGGGTATCTAAAGCTGGTTTGTCAATTGGCCAAGGCTGTGAATCCTCAAGGGAGGGTAAAAAGGACCAGCCACTAGTGACCCTTCCTGACCGTGGGGAGCAGGCCATAGCTCAAGCTGGAGCACACACTTGCCAGGGATGCCGTAACATTTAACCACTTTTTTTCTTTTTTAGCATCTTGACCTTTTTATCTAAATAGATAATAATATTCAAGTGCCATGTGTCTCTGACTTAGTATTTGAGCATTTGCCCACAGAATTAACTACTATGGATTGAATATTTGCTGTGTGCTGGGCACTTGGCCAGTTGTTTTCACATTAAACCATTTCACTACATGTCCCTTGCAATATGCTTATGAGGTAACGTTTTCCATTTTAGGGAACTGGAAGCCCCCTGCTGGGATTTAAAGTGGGTCCTCAGTCTTCTCTCCTAAAACATCACCCTTGTTCCTAGGACCAGCACTTGTATTTTGTTTTACTTTGCTGAGCTTGGTTTCAGAGTCTGTTGCTAACTAGCTGGTCTGTTAGGTGCAAACTGCCAGCCTGTAATTTTCTGCCATTCTTTAAAGATGTCGTCCTTTATGGAAACGTGAGAAACTGCGTATGAATTGGAATGAGATCAAGTTTCATCATCCAGTTGCATTAATTTGTATCCATCCCAGAATAAAATCAGGAATGATTATGAAAACATGTTTCGATCACACGATTGTTTCTAGAAGTTGTGCCCATTGCTAGGATTCAAGGATTCTAAGGACCAACTGAGACATGGGCAGCCGAGCCCAGGCTGAACAGCATCACGTGAGAGGTGCCTCTTACTAAGTGCCTACCCGGTGCCCAGTACTCTACATGGCACATCATTGCTAGTCATACATGATCTGCAATGTTCACAATCATTTTACAAGTTATTATTCTTACAAATTATTATGCACTATTATTCCCAGTGGGTGTGTGGGGAAACTGGCCATGTGTGACTCAGAAAGTCTGAGCCTTTTTTCTAAATTTTGATGTATTCCAGGTTCTTTTGTAACGGACTATGAACTTGTCATTAGTTGATCCAGTTTAAACTGCTTCTAATCCTTAATAACTTCTACTGGTTCTATTTTTCTGGGGAAAGCACCCTATATGCAGAGCCTTCATCATGCAGGTACTTCTGCCTGTATCTGTTACACCATTTAAAAATACACAGAATACGCCTGGGGTTGAAATCAGACCGTTTGCACCTGCACCCTGCGTTTGGACATTTTCTCAGGAGTCGAAAGAACCCAGCAGCCACTTGGTCTCTTGTTCTCATCACTCCAATCTCTGCCTCCTCTGTTTCAAGGGGCTTCCCAATGGAAAGTGACATGTACACCCTGCGCGTGCGCAGACACTTCGCGGTGGCAGATGAAAGAAAATGGACCATGTAGTGTTACAGTACATGCTGTTTCTTCTGTTTGACTTGCAGATCATCCACTATGAGGTCGGCATTATTATCTGTGCTGCCCTGGGGCTGCTCTTTGTCATCCTGATGCCTCTGGTGGGGTTTTTCTTCGGTTTATGCCGATGCTGTAACAAGTGTGGTGGAGAAATGCACCAGCGAGAGAAGAGGAACGCGGCCTTCCTGAGGAAATGCTACGCAGTCTCCCTCTTGGTGATCTGTATATTTATAAGGCAAGTGCAATCTTGGACAGCGGCTGATTGGGTTTTTGGTGGGTGCGGAATGTCTCATGTTAAGCCTGTGAGTGTAAAACAAAACCACAAAAACAAACTCCCCACCCCCCACCAAATCAGGAAAAAACGAACAAAAATGCTGGTCCAGGATGACTTAAGAAGATGTCACTGTAACCGCAAATTAGCGTGGTAGTCAGGCTGCCCTAACCCACGTGCTAAGCCAACACTTTGGAATTTGTTCATCTTGAAGACCTTCGATAAACCTCAGACTGCTGGTGGCATTTATTTACCTCTTGAACAGCAGCTCCCTCCTCTCAAATAGCTGCTGCTGCTGCAGACAGGCTGCCCTGCAGGCAGAACCCATATTTGCTAGGCGATCTGTGCCTGCAGAGGCATCTCAAAGCATGGCTACAGCCCCCGAATTTGGGAATTGGAGAATATTGTGGAATGGCATTAGCTTTCTAATAATATATCTAGTTTCTTAAATTTGCGATTCAGCTGCTACCCTCCCGTGAAGCCTGGAACACAGGTTGCAGCTTCGCGTGTTCTTCGGTAGTCCTGCAGTGGGGTTTCCCAGCTGGGAGCAGGCCTGCAGTACACTGCTTTTCTTTTAGGATGATGACGCTGTGGTAAGAGTCCAAATCAGATTCCTCAGCTGGGGAACGTGCTCCGTGACACTGGCCCCTGGTAGTGACCTTTGGTCATCGGTCATCATCCCTCATTGCCTCATTCATTCAACCAGTGTGTCATTTCACCGCAGACATAAAGTACCTGTGACAGGAATCACGCTAGGGCTCAAGGAGACTCAGAGACAACGAGGATCGAGGATCGGCAGTCAGCATCCTCCTGTCTGTCTCTAAGTATCGCGTTTGCTCAGTAGCCACGATTAAGGTTTTGCAAGTGGTGCTAAACAACTGGTATTTGGGAATGTAAGCAGAGAACAGAATTAAACAGATATTAAACAAAATCATACAGGGCAATATAAGCAGCCCTACCAGTTGAAGTTCTAGCTGCGTATTCAAGAAGCAATGTTCTTCACATGTGTACACCAGGAGGGTAAGATATATGCTTTGAGGGATGTTCAGTTATTGAAATGCAATACGTCCTTTGGGAAGGACTCAGTTCTCCACATGCTGGTACTAAAGAGTCCCCAAGTGAGATAAAGTGGAAAAAGCAGGTTGCAGACCATGTGTAGAACGTGGCAGCTATGATAACAACAAAAAAGAAAGGAGATAAACAAACCCTTGGTTCTATCTGCACTGAGCCTCTGTGAGCAGATTGCCAAGACCCTGGCCACAGCGGTTGCCTGTGGGGAGGAAATTGGCCTCTGTGGAGGGGAAAAAGGGAAGTCACTTTTCACTGCAGATAGATTCTTGTCTCCTTCATTACCCACTATATTAGCTACATGAAAAATTAAACTCGAACAACCAAGACAGGCCCACAGGAAGCAAAAGCCAATGCACGCGCACAACCACTTATTCCACGGCAGTGATGTTTTTTAACGAAGACATACTTTTGCTGAAAATAGTGATGTAATAGGCTTGAACAGTATACTTGTAAACAAGATCCAAATGAATGTGTTAGCTGATTTCGTGCACCTTTTCTGACCACCAGGGTTCTCTTGTGTTCTTTCGGCGAGATGAGGGTTCGGGGCATCTCTCTCTCTTTCTCTACCCCCTGCCCTCCCTGCCTCCTACCCCCTCCCCCACTTATCTCTGTCTCTCTCTCTCTAAATAATTAGAATTTGTTTATTCACATTTAATTCTAAAAACCAAGTTAGGATCAAGACAATCTTAATTCCAGATGTTTCTGTCTTCTGCTTTGCGTTTGAAATATTTTCAGGAATGCACAGCTGTTACCTCCTCCCCAGCTACCAGAAAAAGGTCGGTTATAGCCCACAGACCTGTCAGTCCCTGGGAACGTCCTGTACAGCTGAAACTTACATCCTTCATTCATGCAAAGACTTCAAGAGCAGAGCGTCTCCTCTTAGTCCTCTGTGGATACACCATGGAGAGTAACGATGAGGCTCAGTTGACAAACTGTCATTTGGAAATACTTGCCCTTAGGGCTTCTTGTTAGTGTGATCTCTAATGAACAATTCAATAGTTTTCACTTGGTAGAAATACATATGATGTAATTTCAGGAATATTCTTTATAGCATGTAGTTACTCATTTACCTGAATAAATGTTTTTTGGTTTTTGTTAGGGTTAGGGTTAGAGTTAGGGTGAGGGTCGAGTTTAGGTCTAGCATTAGGCTAGTGCTGGGGTTGCATTTAGGATTAGGGTTAGGGTTAGGTTTTCTGAATAAATGTTTACATATGTAGTAATGAGCTTTCAATTTTTTTGAATGAAGAATTTAACCTGTTTTGGGTTTCCATTTTTAAATTGGACTTTTATTTGCATTACATATATTTATGTGTTATATGTTATAGTTCACCCTGAATTGATTGAATTTTTTACGTTATATTTAAATACCAAAATATATAAACAGTAAGGCCACAAAGTCAGAAACAAATTTGTGTTTCATTTATATATAAAATGAATGTTACATTTTTTTTTTATTTTAGAGAACTCAGACTCATGAAACAAATCTAGTTAACTTTTTCTCCTGAGTATATTTTAGTTCAGAAATTCTTTTAAAAAATAGATTCTGTGTGTCTAGAGCCTCCTATATATTCAGTTAAAATACTTCTCCCACCTAAGTAAAACTTATTAATTTGGAAATCATAATTTTAAATTCCAATATAATTAAACCAAAGTTGATCAATTATTTTGAGGCTAAGTGACATATTTAAAGCTAATTTATGCCTTATGACACAATGAATTGATATATTAATTATAAATAGGTCTAAAGAAACTATTTGAGATTGTTTTCTTCAATTTAAATTCAGACCAGAAGTTAAAACTCCTTTGCCTTGAGTTTTTAAATTTAGAATGGCTGTTTTGATGTCTTCCTTTTAAAACCCCTGTTAGTTTGCAAGTCTTTTTAACATCACGAGTTGATAATAACAGGTATATGTCATTTACAAGGAATCAAAATTAGCCCCTAAGGGTCAAAACCAGGGGAACACAAAGCCTCCTGCATTATGAGCAGGTAGAACAGGGAAGAAAGTATTTCTACAACATCAGGAGATCAGTTAAGAGGGACAGGCATGCAAACAAAGCTAGAATACATTATTAGCCTCTGGCCTACAGTGACATCAGCAGAGACTGGATACTGTTGATACATAATCTTTAGATACGATTTTTTTAAAAATTCAGAAACCCAGGCATGGCTGTAACATACCTTTCATCAGACTCAACTCTATTTTGTGTCTCTATAGGAAGTGTGACAATTAAAAATGAAGTTTGTTTTCAAATTAGTCTTGAGTACTCTTAATTTTTCATTCATCCTTTTTTATGTAAAGATATTGAGGTTTTATTTTATTTTTCTAATTGAGAAAGGCATGGGCATTAAGGAGAAAGATGCCCTGGTCAATGTGGAATGTACGTGGTCACGTTCTCCCTCGGTCTGAGCCCCTCCAAGGCAGCTGCACGTGTGAGAATTCCACGCATGCCGACCCATGTTTATGTAGCTGTCTGACCGGCACGGGAAGATTGAATTTCCACCTCTCGCTGCAGACTGTTCAGCAGATGTGCTTCACTCCAGAAAAAACCATGCTTCCTCTTCTTCCTTTCCTTTGTGCTTGTCATCGCTGCATTTTCAGAATTCCAGAAAAGGTTATAAACAACACAAAGGAGCAACCATGGCTTCATTTCTCCAGTGTATTTCCAAGTTTCTGAGTACGGCAAATCAGCCTTTGCCAATTGCCATGGTGCAAATCGAATCCCTGTCATTTTGAGGAAGATGGCGGTTTTTCAAGGTTCATTTTTCATAAGGATGTGATTGCCAGTTCCTGGCTCGGAGGCGACAGATTCCAGAGAAGAAATTGAGCTAGAATGCCTGAAAATCACGAGACTTTCTTAGTGTGAATGGAAAGCTAGCTATTTAAAATTTAAATTAAAAATTGTCTTTAAAAAATAAGAGATCATTTACGTCTAGACTGAAAGCATTTATTTAGCTTTCATTGGCTGATTTTTTTAAGCCAGCAAATTGGAAAAAAATTAAATAAAATTGCTACATATTTTAAAGGTTTGGTCTTATTCTTTAAAAGCTTTAGATATTCACTTTTAGGGTATATGTGAGAAAATCAGTCTATTCATAATAAAATACAGAGAATGTAATGCTAATATGGCATACAAATTAAAGTTCCTATCTAATGCTAGAATTTTTGAGATTTTGTTGTACTGCATAAAAAAGTCCACTTTTTGATAGCTTTTGTGTTTAAATGGAACTTCCAAATTAGAGATTGCAAATGGAGACCAGTTGGTTCTCCTGATAGTTAAAGTTTCTTTTTTCTTTGATTAGTTGCTAATATTTAAAAAGGGGAGGTTTTACATGAGAATACAGACTTCCAGGCTTTTGTGAAGGTTTGTTGCACCAGCGCTGGCGGCACTTGCTAGAACTGCAGAGCAGCTGCCCCACACCCACTTTGGGCTGCCTGCCCAGCTCTGTGCCAGGCCCTTGGTCTCCATGTTTCCCGCCTGCCCACATGAGCATTTGAATTTTTCCTGCCTAATTTAAATGTAAAATTTGTAATGTGGCATGGGTCTGAAAATCAGCTTTGACAGTTGCTGGATCCTATTCCAGAATTCTGTTTGGTACAGGTTTTAAAAATGATCAATGCTTTCATGTTAATTGAATCCATAATTAATTAGCAGAAGTGTGGGTCTTTTAAAATTTGTTGCATTGAAATTCAGTGTCACGTTGCAATTTATTTTACTGAGTAATGAACTTGCCAGTAAAGGCATTTATTTAATAAAAGAACAAAGACAGTTTCTGACTTGGACACTCCAAACATGTGGCTGATCTTCTAAATGGACCAAATGAAACAAAGTACAGTCTTTAAAACCACCGTCACCGAGCACCCACCATGGATGAGGGGTATGCAACATTGACAAAGAAGCAGTTTTCATTTCTTCTTTGAGAACTTAAACACAGATTAAAAATAAAGGCAAAATAGGGAAATCTCGAACAGACTGCCTAAGGTCAGACAGGGTCAACATCTGACATCGGCAGAGGCAGATCCAGAAAGTAAAAACAGCGGTCTCCAACCATAGAAGTTCGCACCACAAAGTCAGGAAATCAAGACAGATCAACTTAAGAAGCAGCAGCAAAAGAGAAGAGTCTCACAAATAATGGGAAGACAAAGAAATACCCTCCACTCGAAGGGAAAGGAGGAACTCCCAGAAAGAGAACTAAATGAAATAGAGGCAAGTAAACTATCAGATATTGAGTTCCAAACAACAGTTCTAAGGAAGCTCAATGAGCTCATAGAGCTCAGAGAGAATTACCAAACACTACAGGGAAACTACGAGGAACTTACTGCAAACTATATCAGCATGAACAAGGACATAGAAACTATCAGTAAGAGACAAGAGGAAATGAAGAATACAGTTTCTGAATTGAACAACACAGTAGAAGGAATCAAAAGCAGGATAGATGAAGCCAAGGACCAAATCAGTGACCTGGAGGACAAGGTAAAAAAAAGCTCCCAGAAAGAGCAAGAAAATGAAAAAGACTCAAAAAGAATGAAGAGGCATTGAGGGAAAAGCAGGACAACCTGAAATATAATAATAGCCCTATAATAGGGATACCAGGAGAAGAGGATGAGGGAGGGATAGAGAACCGGTTTGAAAAAGTCATGATGGAAAACTTCCCTAATTGGAGGAGAGAAAGAGTCACACAAGTCCAGGAAGCACAGAGGGTCCCATTCAAGAGGAATCAAAGAAAGAGAGAGAGATGGAACTCCTACCTTTTGCAACAACATGAATGGAACTGGAGAATATTATGCTAAGTGAAAAAAGCCAGTTGATGAAAGACAATTACCATATGATCTCACCTATAAGTGGCCTCAATTCAACAAAATAAACTAATGAACAGAATAAACCACAGACACGGAAACATGGAGCAGACTGAAAGTGACCAGAGGGGATGGGGAAAGAGGACAGTGGTGGAAAGAAGGGGAAGGGACTAGACAAAGAACATGTACGAATGACCCACGGACACGGACAACAGAGTGGGAATTGACTGTGGGGGTGGGGGATGGAGGTGGGATGGGTAGAGGAGGGGAAAGGGGGAAAAATTGAGACAAGTGTAATAGAATAAATATGATGTATAAATTAAATAAGTAAATAAAATAAAAAAAATAAAGGCAAAATAGAGTGTGAAGGGAGAAATAGTCGGTCGGAACTTCAGGAGAGGCCTCTGGGAAAAGCAGCAAGGAGCTTCCTGCGGGGCGCCAGTGGCCGCCACGGGGACTAGGGCGTGCTGCTTGTTTCCCAAGTTCACTTTGACTTCTTATATGACACAATGGGCCTGGAACAGGATGAACGACAAGTCACTGGGACGTGTTGGGGAGAGACAGCAAGGGCCCCCACTGTGGAGTCTTGTCGTGAGCAGATGTAGTCAGGTGGCTGGCCATCCTGACTTACCATGAACGTTTGAAATTTGGCATGACCAATAACGCTTCAAGTACATTGTTATGACTCAACTTTGTTTTTTTCTTCTGTCCACACTGTTCCAAAGTCAGTATTTTGGGTCATTTGGCTTTCTTTGGCATAAGTGCATTACTTAATAACTATTATTGCTGTGGTATAAAATCGGCCTCATAAATACCAGTGCAGACTAAAGACGGACAAAAATGGATTCTAAGGTGGTCATTCCAAATGGCACAGGGTAGTGTGAGTATTCATTTTTCTTTAAAAAATGATTACCATCAGCATGGACCCAAATTAAAAAAAAAAAATCTTGTAGAACTTGTGGCCGGCCAGCAGCCCTCGCCTTTATAGCTTGGGAAGCACCCTTCCCGCCTGACCTTCTGTTGTGTGAGGTTATGGTTGTGGTTATGCTGAAACTCTCACACAACAGAAGGTCCGCTGAAGCAAGAGTGTGACTTTCTCAAGCTCACACGGTGTGAGTTCGGGGCAACAGTGGCAGAATCTTCCGCTTCTCCTCTCCTAGGCATTCCATTGGAACTTGTTAAACATAAGGAATATTGTTTGATATTGTGTGATAGGTTTTTTTGGATTAGTCTGGGAAATCTAATTTCCCGTATGGGAAAATGTTTTAAGTCAGGCCAGCAGTGAATTAATGCTCCTTGGAATGAATGATGACTGTAAAGGGGGTGAATGGCTGCCTCTCCATTTACTCGAGACTGAGAGGCTTCCTGGGAACATGGGACTTTTGATGCAGAAACGGACACTCGGCTACCCTGCCTGTAAATATATGAATGCAGGAAGCTGAAGACATTGCTTTTGGTACAGTAGCAAGGTATTGATATTCTGCATCAGAACTTCCCTCCCAAAGGTTATTATTTGCAAAACCTTGTTCTATCCATATGTTCTATTTTGAATGGTTACAAGCTAACAATCTTGTTACTGACTTCTGGAGGTAAAATAGGCTGCTATGAATTTATGTAATTTCTTACTGCCACCTAGTGGCTAAATCCAACAAGTCCTTGGTAATTAGCAATTTTAAATATTAACATTTTACTTGTTCGAAGGCTTTGACATAAAAACAAACCGGTTGGGCAAATTAATTTAAGTCAGGAGATTGTTAGTAAATAGTCAACATTAAAAGCCCTTAGAATGATTAAATGTAGACTTGCCTTGAAAAATGTTTTATTTTCATGGAGAGGAGCCTTTCATGTAGTGTTTCTGAAAGTCTTTATAGACATATGCTTTCCATGGTGAGAAGTGTCCATGTCATAAATACACATTCACAGGTTTCTACAAAGTGAACACACCAGTTACATAATTATCTACCCCTCCCCAAATATAACCACTGCCATTCAGTTGAATTATTTTGCTTGATTTTATGCGTTATATAAAATGGAACAGTATAATACATACATTATTGTTTGTAGCTTTTTATACATTTTCATGCTAAAATAACACATGTTTCTTTTCAACCTGGACAATACAAAAACTAACCAAGACAGCTGGAGAAACCAAAACTGTTAGGAAGCCCGGAGCAGTTCATCGTTTTGGTATTTCTCCTGGCAGTCTTCCCTGGGGGAGCAGGGGTGTGTGGGGGGCGTGTCAGTGTGTGTGCTGCGACACGCGCGCATAGAAATGAGGCTGCATTACACACCCTGCCCCACGACCTCTGTCAACTACCCCTTCCTTCACAGTTTATCAGGAACACTGCCTCGTTTATAAGCTGCAACAAGACAATGCGTCTTAAGTGGCTGTGCGTCTTCTCTGAGCAGACGGGTCCTGTTCTGTGGCCCACGCGTCAGTGGGGGGTGGCTCCTGGGACCTTGGCCCAAAGGCTGTAGCAGTGGTGGGGACAGGGCAGGCGGGCAGGTCCTGGTCCTGTGGGGGCCCCACCCAGAAGCCCCGCTCTTTCTTTCCCGTCCGCAGGGCTGCCTGCGCCTGGCCAGCCCGCGCACTCACGCAGTGAGTGATCCTCCTTGTCCTGTGCTCTTCCTGCAGCGTTGGTATCATCTGTGGTTTTGTGGCAAACGACCACCTCAGGACCCAGATCGGCAAGACACAGAAGCTGGCGGACAGCAATCTCAGAGACCTGAGGACTCTCCTGAACGAAACTCCATCGGTAAAATCCCCCATCTGCCTGTGCTGTGATGCTTTGTCTTTAGGGCCTTTTTGGGGCTCCTGTATAGATTTGAAATTGTATTTGGGCCTTCTAGAAACCCAGTGAAATCAATGTAGACAGGTGTCATCTTTTAATTTTATAGATGAAGAAATAAAGGCCCAGCAAGTGATGTCTAAAAGAGTACAAAAACATGATTTCAAAATTGGTGTTATTTTATTGAGCTCTAACATAAAATTATAGTACATATTATAACAGTGCTTAAACACTTTAAGGGCCTCATTTTTTTTTTTTAAAGAAAAAAATCTTAAGGTGTCATTATCTTTTTCTTTTTGGCAATATAATTAATTCTTCATTGTTTGCATGAAGTTGCCTTTGTAATGAAACATTTCTACTTTATAAACATCCATTTGCTAATGTCTATGTAGATTGCGATGTGGACCCCCCTGCTTCCCCCCACCCCTACACGCACAGAAGTTGTCCTTGGGGACAGGAACATGATGGCCTGAGGCACCTTTTTTCTATGTCCCAGCAACATGCTGATGTTTTGCCTGTGCAGAATATTGTTTGGAAAACTGTCTGAGCAGAGACCAGCGCAGACACATTTGCTGAGCCCACGGGGACCAGTCTGGAGAGAAGGGCCCTCCTGCTGGGTTTGGTAATCGGAGCCCCTCAGGACCCACAGGTCCCTGCACACTGGTGTGTTCTTCCAAGTTTATTACAGCCCACAAAATACTGACACATGAAACAGTGCACTAGTTTGTAAACATGGGGTTGGCGCTCAAAGGGCAAAGAATGCAGGCGTTTTTTAAATACTGATATTAGAGAAGCTCGTTTTATCCATATTACAGCGGTACAGAGAGGAAGTGTTCCGTGTTCCTGATCTGTGAATAAAAACTCATCCTATTTTTTACCTGTCACTCTAAATTAGACTCCAAAGTGAAACCTCTTCCCTAAAATGTTGGCAAAATTAAACACACAGCAGTTGTGGCTGGAGCACTTGGGGATTGCTTTCATAAGCTTGGAAGGATAGTGAAATCTTATGACTTTTGGGGGAACTGATCTGCTTCCAAATGTATGAAGAGCTTTTAAGAAGTCTATAAAAAATAAGGCTTCTAGTCACACGAGAATGTATCTAGTCACTTATAGAGGAAGCATACCTGGCCCCAAACACAATATTTATTCTTCTCTACTAATTGGAGAAATGGAAAGTTAAACAATGCTGCGCATTTTCACTGAGGAGACTGGCACTGGTTTGTAAGAATAAGCGGTGCTGTGAAGGGTGTGGGGAAGCCGCTAAGATGCAAAGATGGCACAGCAAGCTCAGGAGCAGCCACTAAATCACATGGTCCCAGGGTCCTCGTTACCAATAGTCTCAAATCCCTTCTAGGCCCTCCCCTCCAGAGGTGGAACTGCTCACGCCCCTTGAATCCACGCTGTCTCTGTGACTTGCTTTGACCAAAAGAATTCAGCGGACGCGACCTTGTGCTAGGGTTGAGCTGCAGCTTCCCGAAGCCCTGCTGCGTCCAGTCCTGTTCTCTTCCCACCTGAGAACCCCGAGGCTGGACACGGGGGCGAGGAGAGGGGCCCGCGTGTGGCCAACCACACCAGCCTGGCTCAGGCAGCCACACAGCCCATGCACAGAATCTTGAGAAATAATGAATCATGTCTCTTAAGCCGCTAAGCTTTAGAGTATTGTTAAGAAGTCTGGGTACCAGAAAATATAACTGTCTCTAAGAACCTGCTTTCTTTTTCCAGTGTTCTGGTTCGGGATAATTTTTGTATGTTACATCTCCTATCATGGTGGCTTTGGATCTTAGCAGGTTTCATGTTATTTTATTTTATTTTAGCAAATCAACTATGTACTGGGCCAGTATACCACCACTAAGGAAAAGGCATTCTGGGATCTGGACAGTGAGTAGAATTTAAAGTTGCCTTGAATTTTTTTGTCTGTCTGTTTTGGCTGGAAGACGCTAAGGCCACCGCCCATAAAACATGGACTAGGTGACGTATGCCGTTTCTACAATTTCTGGGTGAAAGGGAAAAACAGGAAGGCCATTCCCTAGAGTTATTGACAATTCACAGTGTGTTATTCAAGGATGAAAACGTAGCAAAATGTGTTTGCTTTCTTGTAGCCACTAGCGCTTCCCTTGCAAGCCCCGTGTGAGGGAGGAAAGGGGTCTCTGTCGGGTTCATTGTGACAGACAGAAGAAGGCCCTGGAGAAGCCTATGGGCTTCAGAAGCAGAGGGCTGGGCGGGCTGCTCCGGGCCTGCCCACGGGGGTGCATGCGCAGCCTGGCTCAGGACTTCCCAGCCAGGGGCTGCTCCCCCTGCAAAGCAACACTGGGCAACATCCAGAGACATTTTCGGTTGTCCCAACAGGTGAGGGTTGGGGTCAGGGCTATTTGTTGGTAGAGAGCAGGGAAGCCACTGAAAATCCCACCAGGCACAGAACGCCTCCAGAACAAAGAACAATGCAGGCCCTAATGTTGGCAGTGCCAAGGTGGCGAGACCCCGGCCTGGCTGGAGCCATTTAGGGCCCCAGGCAGTCACGGCTCAAAATGATCAACACGGCGTTCCTAGCGCAATTCAGTACCGAGTCTCTGGTGGCTAATTTCTCACTGGGGCACAGCTGGTGTGGGGACTTGGAGGAGCATAAAGGAGTCTCTGCACAAGAGTAGCACCCCAACAGGGTCTGGAAGGAAAACGGGATTTCCCGGCAGGGGAGACTGAAGGTGACTGTCCAGATGCCCGTCCCCTGAGAGGCAGGGAGCGAGACCTGGCACCGGGAGGGAGCACGCGGAACGACCCTCTCACGCTCCCTCGTGCCTCTCTGAATTTAGATATCAAGTCATTGCTCGGAGGCGGCATTCACGAACAGCTGAGGCCTAAAGTGATCCCCGTTCTTGATGACATCAAGGCCATGGCGGCGGGTAAGTGCTGGGACGGACAGAAGGGCGCGCGCGGAGCTTCCACCCAGAAGTTGCGGGCTTCCTTGGTTCACCCCCTTTTCGTGGTTTCCCTTGGAGCTGCCGGGGCGACAGCCACCGCCTGGGCCTGTGCACGCGGGCCAGGCACACGGCGTCACCATGGTATTTTTCCTAAAGCTTGTGTCACAGCTGTCACACGGATGGCCTACAAGTCATATGAAATAATAGTGGCAGAAGGTGATGGCAGCCTGCCACCCGTTTTTAGATAAAGTTCCTGGAACACAGGCGTGCTCCTCTGTGGCTGCTTTCACCCTAGGATGGCATCCCTGTGACCCACGAAGCCTGAAATGTTTACTACCTGGTCCTTTTACAGAAAAAGCTTGTTGACTTCTGCTATAGACGACAAGTAGCCTATAGGATGTTAGGCTTTGGGGTCTATTCGTTACTCTTGCCTCCTCCCCTCCTCCAGCGCCCCCGCCCCCGAAAGAACTAGTTCTGTATAGTAAAAATATACGTAGTATATTCAGAATCACCACAGTTGATAGTATAAGTGAATATAAACTGCATATTGGACGGTCATTTTTTTAAAAAGACCTTCCAGGCCTTTTCCAGATGTTGAGAACTTGTCTGCTACACACCAGGCGCTCTTCCTGCACCGGACTAGCCCGCGCTTGCAACTGTGGGGGTGGCGCGGGTACCCGCGTTGCGCCGACCCAAGGCAGGAAGGCCCGGAGACGGCGAAACTTGGCCGAGGTCAGGGAGCTGGGAAGTGGTGGAGCTAGGATTCAGACCCCGGTCTGGCTACAAAGCCTGTGCTACCTGGGCCATCCTACCGGACATTTGGGCCCATCCGGGAACAGGAAGATGTAGGGTGCGCCTGTGCCGTCCACGGTCAGATGGCACAGTGTCTCTCCAGAGGAAGAGTTAGGAATGTGGAGTTAGGAGCTGGTACAGCCAGGCGTTCCAATGCCCCGTGTTCCTTGTGGGTCACTGCATTTGGACTACTGCTCTGCTAAGATCTCTTCCAGCTCCAAATTTCTGTGCAGGTAAAGGCTGTGCCAAGGTATGTGAACGATGCCATGTGGTTTGTGCGGGCCTTGATTTTGCACCCCATGGTTTGCCCAAGATTTAGTGTTTGCATTATAATTCTCTCTGGGTTAAAAGCAATTAAAACACATGTATTTTTCTCTTCAGTGCCTCATGTATTAGTATTAAAGTTCTACTTTTTAAAATCAGGCCAAATAAGTGACAGTTTGGCTTTGGGTATTGGCCAAGGCTTTTAAAAATGTGATTAATAAACTGCTTTGACAATTTTTTTGCTAAAAGTACTTCGCAGGGTTATGTGTTTAGTAGCCTTTGGAGAGAGCAGAAACATGTAAATTTATTTGAGCTGCACATGAGGATCTGTAAAGGAAATGTGCTGTAAGCTGGTCAAACGTGCATTAACCAAAATAGAGATTCCGAAATACTTTTTCACTGACCTCAGATACATAAAATATGACCTGGGCAGGCCTGGAATGACTCCCAGAGTTATAACCACTAGATATTTTACAGACATAAATGCTTTGAAGTAGGTGAAAATATGTGTATATTTACACCTCTCAGTCCTTGGAATAGGACAGAATAGTACCAATGACCCAGAGTGTCTGGAGACAGTGCCAACTGGACACATGTTTTCTAGGCCATCTATTTATTTTATCATCCATCATTTTTGTTGTTGTTTCTTGCCTTAAAATGATTTTCTTCAAGTCAAAGGAGAAAGGTAAACCATGAGAGGTAAGCCATACCACCTGGAAAGGTACGGCGTGTGTTGCAGGATGTGCGTTTGGTGTGCTCTTTTGCTTTCTGTCATGTGTTTCTAGTTGCAGCCGTTTGTTTTGTTTTGTTCTGTTTTGCTTTTTGCTGTGCGAAGGTAGGTCCTTATTGAGCCTCTCATATGAGCAGGTACCAGGTCCATTCTTTGCCGATAATTCTGCAAGGTAGGGAGGAGAGAGGAGATGCTGAGGCCCAGAGTAACTCTTCGATAAAGTCGTAGAAATTGTCAGTTTCAAATATTGTTATGATACAACTGGAGCAAAATTTAAGAGAAAAGATTGTTTGAAGCAAATTTTAAGATTTCCTATTCAGAGGAGATGACAGAATTTGGTTTCACAGGCCAGTGCTCAATCCACTGAGCCGTGCCAGCCAGGGCCCCGAGATGACAGAATTTGGGACCAGTGGTCACACAGTCCAGTCCTGGAAGCCTCCCTGGGTCTCATCAAAGCCAGGTGCTGAGATGCTGCCTTGGATGACATGGGTGATGCCATTTCCTAAGTGTAGACTTGCTAGGCCACAGCCTAGAATGACAGACTCTCCCAGTAGCCGGAGATGCCCCAGCCAGCTTCCTACCTTACAGATGAGGAAACCGAGGTCTCAAGAGGTGAAGGAGTTTGCCAGGGGTGCTGTTACAAAGTAGTAGCAGAACTGGGATATGAGACCTCAAACTACTTTCGATTCCACAGCATGCAAGAATTAAAGTGTGTGTGCATGTTGTTGCTGTTGTTTTCTCTCTCAAGTTCATGTGGTTGCCCAGGAACGTTGGGGAAGTGAGTAGTTAGGGGCATTCACACTTTTCCTTGCGACACCCAAATGTGGCTCTGCTATCTGTTTTGTGAACCTGGAAAACTTACTTGCTTAGAGGAAAAGCTACGCCCTCTAATTTAAATTTCCCATCATCTTCTACTGTGGCTGTAAGTCACTGTAGAAAAAGAGTCATAAATTTGCTACCTCCCTAGTCATGAATACAGAACTCTATACCCCAGAGAAACCAGGATAACAAACAATTATAGGGGATGTCCTCGTATAAGAATGTGTTCCAGGCTGCAGCGCTCCCAAAATAAAAAAGATGGGTTCACAGTTATTGACGATAGTCGGTCTGATTGTTCTAATCTCCGCCTTTCATGAGCGTGGCAGTCGTTTCACCATTTGCAGGTGAAGAAATTGCCGAAGAATATTCAGGAATCGGCTTCCAGTTGCACAGCCTGTAGGGAAGCTCAGATGTGCACCCAGACCTGCCTGAATCCCAAACTGCGTTCTTAACCATTACTCTGTGTTTAATTTCAGCTCTTGGACTTTCCATAGCTAACATATGTCTGGGTGTGGTCATTGTTTCATGTGGATCACAGGTGCTTGGGAGTGAACATGGTAGTTTGTCTGCTGGCCTCTGCAAGGCTGGGTGACGCTAGGGCAGCGACACCTTCTCCTGAGGCTGCTCAGCCAATGACAGCCAGTCAACGCCACCCACAGATGTCCCCATCATGTTCCCCAAGTGGGAAAGCTGAGCTGGTGGCAGTGGTGGGTGGAGGAGGCCAGCAACGTTGCTGTGTTCCCCTCTCAGACCACCCCTGGCAGCAGGCGCTTCCGGTGGCCTTCCAGTGGCAGGTGCACGTTCACCTCAAGTTCCTGTAGGGGACTGCTGTAGATGACAAGTGACTCGCCATTGCCAGTGTAGTGGGCGCCTCTGTTCTTAAGCGGACTGTGTTCCTACAGCAATCAAAGAGACCAAAGAAGCGCTGCTGAACGTGAACAAAACCTTAGAGGATCTGAAAAAATCAACTGCACGACTTAGTACCAGCCTGCATGAGGTAAAGACGAACCTGGAGCAATCACTCAATGACCCCATGTGCTCCGAACGAGCGGAGATGGCCACTTGCAATGACATCAGAAAGACTCTAAACCAACTGGATGACAACACCAACTTGAGTCAGGTGAGGAGGGTGACTGTGCCACAGGGCTGTGTCTTTGGGACCAGCGGGCAGAGCTTAGTGTGGGCACAGCTGTCAGGTGCACGGTGGCCTGGGCCCCTGTCAGCCGCCCCTGTTAGGGGGTCGCCACGCTGCCGCCACAGCAGGGGAGGGAGCAGCCGAAACCCCTCCTTGCGAGTTGTCCACGATAGACTTCATGAAACATCAAAATGAACTCAATTTTTTTTAAAAAATGGGGGAAGCAAAATGCGTTGTTGTAGACTTTAAAAGTTAAACTATGTTTTGAAATGATGTTCCTAGTATATTGACCACATATGCCTAAATATAATTTCTCATATTCCCAAAGAGAGGATTAGGGGGGAAAAAAAGAATTTGGAACCACGTGAATATATTAAGTTCTGAATGTATAAAATAATCATGTCTACTCATGGTTTTTAATTTATCAAGAGAGTGATATATAGAGAGATATATATATATCTACATATCTCACATATATAAAACAGTATTTTCTTTTAGCCATATTTTCCTCACTTTCACATTTCATGAGTCAGGGTTACTCAAACCCTTCACACCCAACATCTGTGTCTGCATTTCCCCCACAATCACTTTTGTTAGCGTCAAACAGGTGTTTTAGAGCCCAGGGTCTGCACTTGCATTTAAATTGAGCTCTGGTCTTTTCGAACGAAACATTTGATTCTGGTGCACTTCCAAACACAAAGGAAATCCATGAGAACGGTACACAAGATCCCTGCCTGCAGCCTTTACTCCAATCCACCAATGACCAACATTTGGTCTCTTTGCTTGATCATATCATTTTTTCCATTTATCCATCTTTCTGTCATCTATCAATTCATTATTATCATATATATGCATAGAATAATATGCATTTTGTTCTTTTCTCAATCATTTGGATGTAAGTTACAGACATTATGTTCTTTTACCCCTAAATATTTCCTAACTTTACATAGCCATTATACAATTATCAAAGTTAGGACACACTCATATAACATTGACCTAATAATACTACCTTCTAAACCATAGTTTATATTCATATTTTGCCAATTTTTCTGAAAGTGCCCTTTCCAACTGTTTCCTCTCATGCCAGTCTAGGGTCCTGTCCAGGATCACACGTAGTCTTTGGTTTTCATGTCTCTTTAGTTACTTCAATCTGAAACAGTTTCCAAGTCTGTCTTTTTCTTTTGATATTGACATTTTTGAAGACAACAGGCCAATTACCATACAGGATGATCTTCAGTTATGTTTGTCGGATGTTCCCTCTGAGTTAGCTTTAAAGTGTGCCTATTTGTCAGGATATCACAAAAGTGATATTGTGTCTTCCTTGGTAGCTCCTGTCAAGTGGCCCAAGATATTTGTCCTGGTGTTGGCAAGAGATAGAACACTTTAAATCCATGTATTATATTGTATAAAATGAAAAATCTATTCCAGGCAATGCACCAATATAACCACTGACTGTAGTACTTTTAAATGTGTGTTTTTTTAAAAGTTACTTACACTTTATCCAACGATACTCAGTACCTGAAATTGTGAGGTCACACCTATTCGATCTGTGTCAAATTTCTCCCCCTCACTTTTGCCTGACTGTGGCAGGTAAACCTCCAGACATCTAAAATTAGTCTTCGATACAGGCCATTCTGAGCTAAATGTGGTTTTCCCAAACGATATCCTGTAGTTTAAAAGAAATTTAGATCATACCCTATAATATAGAGGCCTTGGGTCTTGGATATAAGATGACAAATGATTTGTGGGGTAACCAGCTTGCCTGATACCTTGTTTTACACATTTCAGCTCCCATCTTTGGATAAGCAAATTGATAATGTTACTGACGTTCTTCGAACAGATTTATCCAGTCTGGTCCAAGAGGTATGTTGTTTTGGAAAATACACAGTAGCTCATTTTAAATAATAGACTAATACACAAGAAAATAGGTAGCAGCAAAAAAGAAGTGGAATTCTGGAGAGGCATTGCCAAGAAGAGAGATAACCGGAGATAACTGTTAACTTCCAGGTAATTTTGTTCATCATTCCAATTCAAGAAATATTTATTAAGCATCTCTTGTGTGCAAAGGCACCATCCTAGGACCAAAGAGAGAAAAAGAAATGCAGGAGCCCACCTTTCCAGGGCTCAGAATCTGAAGGGGGAAGGGCTGGAGCGCACGCTCTGGCATGAGTTGTTCCCCGGCCTGCCCTTGGGTCGGCCGTGCTGGCGTTGCGCCTCCAGGTCCCCTCGCGCATGCTGCTGCCATGCCCGCCTAGCTCCTTCGGCTGCTGAGCACCAGCTACTTTAAGTTTCATGTTTCACTTTCTTGATGGGGCTTTCCCTGGGCATCTTGACCAAGTCAAAACACGTCTTAATACAATCTTACAGCATCGCAAGTATTCTTTGTTAAGTTCCTCATGACTGTAATTATTGCGTTAGTGTCTGGGTTATCCCACTGGATGGTAAACCCTGAAAAAGGCGTGGACCACATTGGCCTAGATTTCCCCGATAGCCTACCAGTTGTTGCTCTTTGTTCAGACAAGGTCTTGAGTGCCCAGTGGATATTTCTCTGTAGATCAGGATTTCGTAGGAGCGCCCAGGGCCTGTAGGAAAGGAGAGAATAGTTTTATTCTTGGCTCTACTGCGTGTTTTAGCATGGGCATAAAAATATCACCAAGTAGACGTTAAACTCATCTATATATAAACAATGTACATAGCCCCTTAAACAAGCGATTCACACTCTCTGTCTTTGGACTCTGGTGTCATGTGGTGTGTTAAATAAAGGAAGTGAATTAGGGGATCTGTGAGGCTCCTTCGAGCCATAAAACCCCTTATGGTGACCTGCCCAAGCCCACAGCCCACAGCGGGGGTCTGGAGCACAGCAAACCCACACCAGCTCCATGTGCTATGGGTGCTTAGTCACCTCTGAGGAGACAATAGGCGGGACGTTCTTTCTGTGTCATCGATGTTGCCAGGGTAAAGTGGAACCCCGCTGGCACCTTGAATATAAGGAAGCTTGTCACTTGGATTGGACTGCTCTAAATGCACATCACAGACTGGGTGGCTGATAAGCAACAGACATTGATTTCTCACAGCTCTGGCAGCTCGAAGTCTGAGATCAGGGTGCGGACAGGCCGGGTTCTGGTGGAAGACGCCTTCCTTCCAGGTCGCAGGCAGGCACTTTCTCCATGTGTCCTTTTAGCACGGTCTCCTCCTCACATGGAGAGAGCTCTCTGGGGTCCCCTTTATGAGGGCGCTGGTCCCACCCCCACATGAGGCTCCACTCTCCTGCCTTAATAGCCTCCCGAAGGCCCCACCTCCTCATACCATCACTTTGGGGGTTGGGATTTCAACATTTGCATTTTGGGGGAACACAGACATTGAGTTCAGAACAGGTTACAATCACAGCGGTGTTCCCAAAGCTGGCTAAATACACCAGCTGACATAAATAAACACAAATTAAACTCGTTCAGGGGAAAGGCTGGCTATTTAATTGAGTGACTTGAACCCAGCAACATTTTCCTGTCATAGATTTAGCTGCAAAGTGATCTAGCTTGGCACGGCCATCTTGTTTTTGTTTTAGCCCCATCACAACTTTTATTTTCTCTGAACTGTATTTTAGTTGTTTTCTGTGTGACTACATCTCCCAATTTCATTGAGTAACTGCATTGGAAAATAAGGTTCTGTTTTTAGAAATTCTTACGTGTGCGTCAGATACGAACTTGTAGCTGCACTGGTGCACTGTGTGGGCCAGGGCTGCTTAACCTCAGCACCGCGGGCACCATGGGCTGGACGGCGCCCTGCGGTGGACTCTGCCCTGGGCGACGCAGGGTATTTGTCAGCGTCGTGTTTGTCAGCGTCCCGACGCCGGCCCACACACTGCCAGCAGCGCCCCCACCCCGGGATGTGATAACCGACAGTCTCGGAGCATCGCCGCATGCCTCCTTGGGGACAGAATGGCCTCCATTTGAGAAACACGGGCATGGTAGAGACACATGCCAATTTTTAACATGAATTAAAAGTTAAAAAATTAAAAACTTTTAGCATGATCTTTGGTGGATACAGTTTAAAGAAAGTCCCCTCTAAAGGGAATTTTCTTAAGACTTTCAGTGACCATATAACAATAATTTCTGCCTTAGGTAAATTGTACATTGTTTATTTTGCTTCTCTATACTAAATGAGTAACTGTTAACTGCTATTCTACTTACCATGTACATCAATTTATTTTTAACTATTTTTAGGGCTATAAATCCTTCAATGATATACCTGAGAGGGTGCAAAACCAAACCGTGGACATGGTATCAGGTGAGATTCACAGTTTGAAGTAATTGTGTGTCTCCCCTTGTTAAGAATGGGTTAGTACAAAGAAATGTGTTAAGAATTGTGTTGTTCTTGTTCCCTCTTAATATTCTCTCACTAAAACCTAGGAAATTAGATGAGCATCAGAGCTTTTCAGTGGTGTCACCTTCACATGTGATGTAGTTTTTAAAAATAATGCTCATCTCCTGACCACGGATTAGCCTTGCCCTGCTGGTGGAGGGCCACTGGGCGGTGGGCCGGGGGCGGGGCAGCGCGGGGGACGAGCCCTCACCGTGCGCTGTCAGGGCTAACAGAGGCCAGAGCGGGAAGGTCACCATTCGCACTGGGGAAAATCTGTAGATTATTGTAGCTCCTAAAAGAACTTAAAAACAATTGGTTTTTTAGGAATACTATGTGTAAGGATTTATTTTATCTTTGAAGATGTTCATTTGTCTCTTATGCTGACGTAATGATATTTTAGGCTCTTCAGGTTGCTTACAGCTTTGGAGAGACAGCCTGATGTTGCGCACATTCTGCTGGTCTTAGCGGATCGACTCATGTTGTATTTAGGTTTTGGTATTTGGGGCAAATGGGGAGAGAAAGGGTGCAAGGTAAACAGCTCTTGGTGCAGGAAGGGGGTAAGCCCAGGTGATTTGCTGAGAGAAGAAATTTCTGGAGCTGTGTAAGATTATATTTTCTCTTGGGTTTTGTTTTGTTTGTCTGTGGGACATTAACTATCTTTTATTTTTACTGTTTAACTTTATTTTTATTTTCAACACTATTACAGATGTCCCCATTTTCCCCCCTTTGCCCACCTCCACCCAGCCCCCACCCCCCCTTCCCTCTGGCCATCACCACGCTGTTGTCTGTGGGTTAGGCACATGTGATATGATTTTTGGCTAATCCCTTCACCATTTTTCATCTAGTTCCTCCTCCTCCCTCCCCTCTGACAGCCATCAGTCTGTTCCATGTGTCCCTGCCTCTGTTTCTGTTTTGTCAGTTTATTTTGTTCATTAGATTCCACACACAAGTGAGATCATATGGTATTTGTCCTTCTCTGACTGGCTTATTTCACTTAGCATAATAATCTCCAGGTCCATCCATGCTCTGGCTAAAGGTAAGATTTCTCTCTATTTATGGCCATGTAGGATTCCACTGTGTAAATGTACCACAGCTTTTTATCCACTCATCTGCTGACGGACACTTGGGCTGTTTCCGGATCTTGGCTATTGTACGTAATGCTGCAATGAACATAGGGGCACTTATATTCTTTTGAATTGTTTCGGGTTTCTTAGGATATATTCCCAGGAGTGGGATCACTGCATTCCCACCAATAGTGCACGAGGGTTTCCTTTTCTCCACATCCTCACCAGCACTTGTTTATTGACTTACTGATGATCGCCATTCTGGCAGGTATGAGGTGATATCTCATTATGGTTTTAATTTGCATCTCTCTAATAATTAGTGACCTTGAGCATTTTTGTTATGTCTGTTGGCCATCTGTATGTCCTTTGGAGAAGTATCTATTCAGGTCCTTTGCCCACTTTTCTTTTGTCTTTTCTTTTCCTTTTTTTTTTTTGCCCATTTTTCAGTTGGGTTGTTTGTCTTCCTAGTGTTGAGTTGTATTAATTTTTTTATATATTTCAGAAATTAACCTCCCATAAGATGTATTGTTGGCAAATATGTTCTCCCATCCAGTGGGTTCCCTTTTCATTGTTGGCTTCCTTTGCTGTGCAAAAGCTTTTTAGTTTGACGTGGTCCCATTTGTTTAATTTTTTTCCTTTGTTTCCTTTAAAGACTTAAATGTAAGTTGCAAAACCATAAAAATCCTAGAAGAAAACATAGGCAGTAATACCTCAGACTACCTCCTCTTTTTAAAAAAATCCCTTTCTCATGAGAAGTGCTTCTTTTTATCTATTGACTGAGTGTTTTGAAATACTGCGTTAGGTAGAAGTAACTGATTTTTTCCCTAATAGTATTTTTCCACTACATGGTGCTTTGGATGCCTTGTGGGTTCCCTTTTGTTCAGTCTAAGATTCCAGTTGAAAATATTCACATATTTAAGACAAAGTTCCCAGTGTTGTGTGCTAGCATCTGATGGCTGACACACACTAAATGTCTGATAGCCACCTGCCTGCTAATCTGTGTTTACTTTCTCTGTCTCCCCTTCCCGGACCTCTTCTGCCACTTCGTGCAGCCCTCCCTTGTAAGTTGGCCAAGCGAGGCGTGCTGAGTGCGTGAGCAAGGCCCATTGCACGCACTGTCATTGCCCAACCACAAGCCAGAGTTTTCTCGGGTCTGGCCAAGGGCCACTCCATCAGCCAGAATATAAATTGCTTATTTTCATGTTCTTCTAAAAAACAAAGAGAAACCCTTAGCTCCCATGTTTTGATCATTCAGTCCTATCTTGCACACATAGTTTAAGCACCTACTATGTGCCAGGCTCTGCTGGTCTCTGGGATGGGAGGGGAATAAGGCATGGCTTGTGCTTTCCCTTTGGTTGGGCATGTGTACAGGTGCCATTTATCACACTCTGGTAACATATCCAGGTATGTACAAGGGATCCAAAGTGGGGCAAGGGTGGAAGGCTTCCTGGAGGAAGCAACTTCTGAGGCCTGCAGAACGTATTTGCTAAGAGAGGGCACCAGGCACCTACAGAGTCACTGGGGAGCTGTGTTGTGTGAGAGGGCAGGGCAGCTGAGAAGCAGGAGGGCCTGACTCTGAGTTTAGGGAACTGTTTGTAGGAGAGGGGGCATCTAAATACCGCATCTCTTAAACTCCAAGCAATGCCAGAGGTAAAAAAGAGGCCCATGGAGTCACCTTGTCGAGGATCCTGGGGGCTTTTGGCATGTAAGCCATTTGGAGGAGGTGCTGAGCCACTATGCAATGACAGTCCCCTCCTAGGAGCTGCAGAGATTTCATATCTTTGTGAACAACACACCTTGAAAAAGGTTCCCACCGTGTTTATGTAGTTCCATTTTGGACCACGCTACCACCTGCCCCCCCCGCCCCCCGCCCCAGAATTCCCAGGAGACCCAGGGTCATACTGTGAGAACTGCTAAGCTTGTCTTGGCTGCTGCAGAGAGATTTCAGGATCAGGACCTTAACTGAGTAGTATGTTCTCCGTGCATCCCTGTCAGGAAGCCCTGAGTGAGTGTCAGACCAGGGGACACCTCACGCCCCAGGTGGCTGATCCCAGGACCTCTCGTGATGCACAGGCACTTCCCAGGAAGCTAGAACTTATCTCCTCTCTGAAAGATTAGCGCGAATATTAATGAGAACTCTTTGACCACTGGGGATACTGTTGCTTTTCGCATGTCAGCAACACTGGCGCGCTTTAACAAGTCTCAGTTTGTATGAGCCACACAAAAATTTAACAAAAACACTACCTGGAGTCACTTGTTCAAAAACTCGGTCCTGGAGAATTCGTATGTTCCTGAGTGCCATTTCTTAGATGGAGAAATTATTATATTATTGAATTATTTTTTTTGAAATTACTTAATAGAAGCTTTTAGAGTTAGATAAATCCCATTTGTAGTGCTTTGTGAAAAAGAAACATATGGGCAAGTATTTAACCTCTGTGAGCCTCGAGGTCACTGTTATTAAATGGGAATAAGACTGCCTCCTCAGCAGAGTGAATGAGAATACATTGATAAAAGTGCCTGGCCCAGGGCAGGCACACAGTACATTTTAATCACCTGACCCCTCCTTTTTTTTTTTTTTAATAAGCAGAAGAAAACTCTGGCTTGACTTCCGCACCATATCATCAAAGTCCACGCTCATAGCTTGCTGTTTTGTTAAGTAATTGCTTTTTGATGGTCTTGGCTACATTTATGCTTGGTACAGAACCTTTTCGTGTTTTAAGTGCATACATAACACGGGAAAAAGTAAAAGTGGTTCAAGTTGTTCAGTTTGGTCCCAAACCAAAGTTTCTGTTTCCTCTAGGTTTGGAAATATGTAACTGAGGTATTTTTGTTTCCAGATATCAAAGGTACCTTGAATTCCATTGGTTCAAATATTGGAAATATAAACAAACAGATGTCCATTCGGGATAAGCTGTCGAGTTTCTCGGATCAACTTGACTACATTGAAACTTACATCCACCGCAGGCTGCCCACGCTGGAAGAATATGATTCATACAGGTGAGGGCCTCCTTTGAGCTGGCAAACTAGGAGCGTGAACCTTGCTAGGGAATGGGGTGAAAACTGGCCATGAAAACCAGGATAATCTTACGAGAGCAGGTTGTACAAAGAGGCTGTCATCTGATGGATTCACCCTAGTTTACATTCGCTAGAAAAGGCGAAGTGTTCCCTTTGTCAGGATATATACTAGAATGGAAACTAAATGATATTCCAAGTACCCATCTGGCCCCATACATAGTTATCACATTATGGACCATATTCTTGGTGCTATAATTGACATCTCTATGATTATTCTGTAACTACCAGTTTGCACTTAATTCCTTCATCGGGGGACCACTCTGTAAAGTACGTGATTGTCTAACCACTGTGTTGTACAACTGAAACTAACAGAATAATATTGAGTGTAAACACAGATCATAAAACCTCATGAGTAAATATATTACAGAGATAAAAGAAAATTAAATAAAATTGAAACTATATGAGGAACATGAGTATAGTTGCTGCACGGAGATGCCGTGCAAATTCATGAAGTGCTTCTTATCTTTATTTAATTTGAAGACTGGAAGTTCTCAAGACAAATTTTTAATAATTTGCAATTTTGATGTCATTAGTGGCTTCTAGACTCTTAGTTATAATTATCGAAAGCATATACCAAGATTTTAAAACTTAAAAGTAATTAAGAAAGACAAAGGCATTGGGGTAAAATTCTTTGCATCACTGGTTTATAAAATAAGTATGGAGAGATTGGTGCTTACAGAAAGAACACCTCTGAACCCAGTTCAAAGAGCTCAGGTAAGGCGCTCAAGTTTGTCCTGGGAGAAAGTGCTGGTGGTGGCGTTTGGCCGTGGGAGGTGCCAGTGGGCTTCTGAGACCCAGTGCTAGTGGGGAAGGACTTGGAGACTGGAGGTAGGACCAGGTGAGATGTTAGGATGTGCTCTCCTCTCTGAAAGGCTCCACCCCATGACCTGCCCCCGGAACTGGTCTTACCGCCCAAACCCAAGCACATTCCGGACACATGTGTTCCTATTCAGGCTATTAATTATACAAGAGCACGAGACAAATCGTAACAACAATCGCTAGCCTTTAGGGGACAGTTACAGTGTGCCCACCAAGCACTGCATGCGTAACATCTCATATAAAAACGCCCCGCCCCGGGTTGTGTCCTATTTATAGCCTGGTTTCAGAGGAAATTGAGGCTCAGGGGCGTGAAGTGGCTCTCTTAAGGCAGCAAGAACATGGCAGAAGTACATTTTCCACCCCCGTCTGACTCGTCTCTTACTTATTGCCCTGTAGGCAACAAAGCATTTTCCTCCCTGGGGGCTCGGCCCCCCTGGGGGCCTCAGGACAACACAAGACAGGCCCTTTCTCGATGAACTTATAGTCTCACTAGCGTCTCACAAATGGAAAGATGGTGCCGCCATCTGCGGACCCTGCAGCTACCCCTGCCCAGAGACCATCAGCTCACTTTTAAAAGAAGTGAAACGAAGCCGAGGAGGCCTGCATTAATGGTAAAAGGTTTCTGAGGCCAGGTGCCACGGCTTATTGAATTATGTGTCCCCAGGACCTGGAACAAAACGCCACAGAATGGATGTGGATGGCTGTTATAATTATTGAGATTGCCCTTAATTGAATGAGAAGCTTGAGGGGCGGGCTTTTGTTTTGGAAGAAGATTCTTTATTTTTCAGTGTTTTAAAGGTTGGGGGACATTTATCCCCTCAGCTTCCGGAAAAGCTTATGGTGCGTTCCAGGAATGCCAGTAAGACCTAACTGAGGACCTGCTGTCCTACAATGTCACACAGGACCCTTACAAACTTGAGATTTGCATTCTGCGGGCATTTGATTTAAGATGCTCATAAAAGTCTAAGACATTCAGTGCACTCACCATGTGGGGAATTCCTGGTTCTGTAGAGAACACAATGCCCCCCAATATTCCTGCAGGCACAAAATGTTTTAGAAAAAGACCTGGGGGGGAAGCCCTATATTTCTTCATCTGTCAGCTAATTGTGATCTGTTTACATCTCATCATCATTCTAATGAGCACATTCAGCACGAGGAACCTCGACAGGATGTAAACGTTAGGGCCCGTTGTTACTGGTAGCCCTGAAGAAGCTGAGCAAACCCTACCTGTAAGCCCTACAGAGACGAAGCAAAGGAAGAAAGCGAGGATCCCTGACTGCAGAGTGCAAAACGCTTCAAAACCAAGATAAAAATTAGGTTTCTTTTTGGTTGGGTGGGAAGACTAGCCGTAGGAAGGCATCTTTTCAGGTCTCCCTCTGAGGGATTCCTGGGAATCTGATATTTGATCGCCAAGGATGGCTCAACTGCTTCCGCCCTGATCTGGCAGCTTTGGACATACAATGATGTCACCTCTTTCGTGTGCAGTAGTAACACCGTGCTTGTTTCCCCAGGTGGCTGGGCGGCTTGGTAGCCTGCTCTTTGCTGACTCTCATCGCGACATTTTATTACCTGGGCTTATTGTGTGGCTGGTTTGGCTATGACCAGAATGCGACCCCCACCAGGCGAGGCTGCGTCTCAAACACCGGGGGTGTCTTCCTCATGGTGTGAGTGTTTGTTCTTCCTTTCCACACGGAGGGATGGGAACTCAGGGAGGAGAGCAGGTGGCCCGGGAAGCCCACGGATCTGGTGACGTCCAGGCTGAGCACTTGGTACCAGTGGCGTGTATGCGTGATTATACTTTGGTCAGTTTGAGAAATTTCACTAAGTGGAAAAGTAAAAGTGAATTCTAAATTAGTCGTACTTTGATAGACAAGCTTAAACATACTGTTTATCTGGGGGTGGTCTCCTCTTTAAAGCAGCTATCATGGGAATTATTTCAAAGTTGGTTTTCTTTATTCCCGTTGTTTTTTTCCTTGTATTCATGTCCATGTGGCCACCCACCCACCCATCCGTCCGTCCCTCCATCCATTTGTCCACCAGATGCTTGTTAAAGGCTGACCTGGCATCAGACACTGTTCTGAATGGCCACCCAGCTTGTTCCCTTCGAAACCCTAGAAACTTGACTTCGAGCAGAGGTTGCCTGCCCATCCCATCCTTCACGCTCTGCCAAGAATGTTCTTCTTCAGTGAGAAATTGGGTTGTGTGTCTCCTGTGCTTGAAGCTTTGCAGGAGCTCCCCTGCCCTGTATCCACCAGCTCCTGCCCCGTACACCCCTACCTGCCTCTCAAGCAGCCGGTCACCATGCTGGGTGCCTCCTCTCTGGGAACAGAGCCACCTGGGCCCCTTTCAGACTTTCCAGGGCACGCTTCCTGCCTCAGAGGCCCCCGCATTCACTGTGTCCTCTGCAGAAGGCCTCGGCTCGCTCACCTGCCTCAGAGCCCATGTCTGAGCCACGGCGCTGGCTGCAGGTAGACCCGCGACTAAGCCATAAGCATTCCCTAAAGACATCTGTGCCGAGGACTGAAAGGCCACCGTGCTTACCACTTTCTGTCCTCGCTCCTGGGTAGGCAGCCCGTGTAGTCTGCAAACAGAGGAAGGTACAGGTCCCTTTTCTACACTGAACACGCAGAGTCGGTGACTAGTGGTAGGAAATACTGAATATTGCATAATTCCTTGTAGAATTCTTAACTTTATTTCTCTTTTTTCCAGAGGGGTTGGAATCAGTTTCCTCTTTTGTTGGATATTGATGATCATTGTGGTTCTTTCTTTTGTCGTTGGTGGAAATGTGGAAAAATTGGTCTGTGAACCTTACCAAAACAAGAAGTTATTCCAGGTAAATGTGGCTTTTGTGACCATTACGGGAGGCTTGAGCCAAAGTTTTGACTTCCCCATATCTTGTGGGTTTCTGCAAGAGCAGTGCAAAAAGATGAGCGGCTCAGTTTTTATTCAGTAAGTTGGGATTCCTACTGTTATTTGTTGAGAAAGCAAAATATGCCAGTACATTTTTTGTAAGTGAAATCACTACCAGGAATTAAGGCTTGTGTATCAATGGGGGGAGAATAATATTTGGGGAGAAGAAAATTTTCCTCAGCGGTCATTCTCAAATGTGGCTGGAAATCTCAGAAGATAAATTCCGGGTCCCTCCCATGCTCCGGGAAGTTTCTGACATTTAAAGAGTTTCCCAGATGACAGTTGCCCGCACAGGTGGTTTGAGGCCATAAATTTGAAGTGAAAGGAGGATACATGTCATGCCTCCTGGCAGACAGTTTGTCCCTGGCGGACGTGTGCTGGGCAGCTAGAGACTGCCCTCCCTTCCTCCTCTGAAACCCGCGTCTGCAGACTCCAGCGGACATTTGTTTCACATTTAGCTCAGTAATTAAGAGGGAAGTGTCGGTTTACATGCTTGTCTCCTAACTTTGACTTTCCGTTGCTTTTCTCCAGATTCTGATTTTAAAAACATATTTCTGTTTTCCTGTCTCATGGTATATATTTTCCACCTCCGATCCATTTTAAAATCAGGTGAATGACTATTAAGGGACTAGTTGCTCTCATGGTATTTTCATTTTTTCAGTTGGCTAAGGAAAATTGAGTGGAGAGCATCAATTTCTGCGCTTGGACTCTTGATTTAAAAAAATAGTAATAATACATCAAGCCAGACTTTATTATCTTCCATCCTGTGTTAAATCATTAAAAAATAATTCTTAAAAAGTAGAGGATATTTTGAAACTATTACACTCCTCAAGCGCACATACAGCCACGCACCAATTAGCCCATCTGAAATGTATATCGTGTGAAGCCAGGGAATGTGCCAATGTTAATTCGTTTTGTCAAGGGCGGAGTAGTGAGCAAGCTGTGGTCACTGCTCCATTAGCTACTCTGAGTCAAATCGTCTGTTCTTCTCTCGTTTCCAATGTGTTTGTTTTACTAAAAGGTAACGTTCTCCAAAAAAAGCAATTTCACTAATTCCTGGTGGTGCTACCCAGTGGTTGGTTGATTTATTCTAATCACACTATTATTTTTTAGTTTTAAATTGAAAATCAATGAGGAAAATCATGATGTGGAAATCCCAAAAATGTATTTAACAGAATATTCATTTTAGTGTGTGTGTGTGTGTGTGTGTGTGTGAGTATAAAACTGTCTTTTAAAAAAAAATTTGTTTTAATTTGTTCCAGATTTTGGACACACCATATTTACTAAATGAGGAATGGAAATACTATCTCTCTGGCATGGTACTTAACAAACCAGATATTAATCTCACTTTTCAACAAGTTTACAGGTATAAATAATTGCATTACATGTTTTTTGCTAGTTCAAATGTTATTTTCCCAGAATAAGAATTTTACTTTCAAAGTGCCGTGAACCTTGATGATAAGATTTTGTAGTTTCCAAAATTAAGCTGTTTTCTAGTCTTAGCAAAAAAATGGTATAAGAAAGACCAAAATGAAGATTCTTCCCTTGAACACCTTCTAGACCAGCGGTCCCCAACCTTTTTGGCACCAGAGACCGGTTTTGTGGGAGACAGTTTTCCCACAGACTGGGGTTTCGGGATGATTCAAGCGCATTATGTTCAAGCCCACCTCTGGCTGTGCGGCCCGGTTCGCGACAGGCCCGGGCTGGTACCAGTCCGCGGCCCAGACGTTGGGGACTCCTGTTCTAGATCCTGCAATGGTGGTGTCTTGAGGTCCCTCTGTCCAGTGATCACTGGGACACACTGGTGAAGGTGACCCTAACATACATAACAGGATCCTGGGAAAACTCTTGTTCCCAGGATCCCAAATAAATGCCACATAACAAGAATTCAGCAGATGGGTCCAAACCACAGACATGCCAGTGGCCATGCAGCGCAAGGGCTGGGCTGTGCTCTGCTCTGTGACCCTGCACAGTTCTACTTCTCTCTGTGCAATAGGAGCTAAATGCCAAGGGCGCTCCTCTAGCAGAGCAAATGCGTGGCCCCGTCCTTGCACCTTGCCCTTGTGGTAGACACTGCGAATCAACTGCGGTGATCTTCTCAGCCCAGAGACTTCTCAGGATCCTTTTAATCAACTGCGGTCATCTTCTCAGCCCAGAGACTTCTCAGGATCCTTTCCAGCAGCATGTTCTAGGCAGACGTTATCAATCCACTGGAGCTTCTGTGCACGATTAAACCATCCCTAGGCAGAGAGGACAGGAGCAAGCTCTTTGTGATTCTAGCTCCTGCAGAACTTTCTAGTCTCCTTTCTGCACTCTGCTCCAACAACACCCACCCACTTGGGGCTCCCTGGGGAGGAGCGTCGCGCCTCCTAAGCACGGGACCGTTCCTTCTCCCAGGCTCCTCCAAGGACTGGGGGGGCTCCAGCTGCCGGGCTCGGAGGCCTCGCCCGCAGCACGTGGCTGTTTGGGTGGCAGAGACACGCAACGATGAAGCTTCTCTTTCTTAGCTTAGAGATGGAGGTTTTCCCTTCTTGAAGAAGCACAGAGAGGTGAGGCCAAGTTAGGTCTCCAACCAAAGTATCCTGGCCTCTGGATGTGGGTGGCCCCCTCTGTGCCTCCATCCTGTCATTAGAATACGTGTCCAAACATGAGTTTAGTAAGTGAAGCTCAACCCAGGAACTATGGAGGGACAGGGTCTGGCAGAGGTTTGCTAGAACCTTTCAATAAAGCCCATGACATGCCTTCTAACACACCTCTTTCTAGCCATTGTTGTTAAGGGGTATTTTTGAAATGAGAATTTATGTCTGCCCAGGGTGTAAATGTGTTATCCCCTACAGCCCTGGGCAGAACCCAAGGAGACAGGTAGAGGAACTTAGTTACTAATCTTTCTGAACCTGTTCCCAAAATGCGACATTTTATAAAGTGAGGAACAAAGTCAGGAGTGGTGGGCACCGGAGGGGCTCACACAGCTGCTGGTGACAGCCTACTGCATCGACACGTAGAAGCCACTCTGCTCACAGATTAAACAGTTAGCGCTTCTCTTCGGCATTCACAGTGGATAGAGGTAGCCTCAACGGCCTCCCTGGTCATGTTCTTCTGTTTATCCCCATAGCGACTGCAAAGACAACAAAGGCATCTACACCACACTGAAGCTGGAGAACAGCTACAATATCAGTGAATACCTCAACATCCAAGAGGTAAGTAATTAGAACCAACCAGGAAATTCACTTAGCTGGTAACTAAATCCAGTTGTTTTTGTCGTTTCAAAATGAGGTGAAATTCACATAAAGTCAACTGTATTAAAGTGACATTTCATTCAATCACAAGGTTGGACCACTCTCACCTCTGATTCCAAAACACTTGCGTCCCCACCTCCCCAACCAGTGTTTCCAGTAGATGACACAGGTCCTGAGATCACTTTGCAGAGAAAGATTTTATCTCCTCGAGTGTCCACATGCCTAAAGGGACAAACCCCACTTGATTCCCAGGGACATTTGCTCTCCAAGACTGGCCACCGTTTTCTGCCAGGTCCCGGACGAGGGAAGAAGGCACCGAGCACTGCGGCCCACGCCATCATCCATCCTTGTAACCGTGGCTCTGGCCCCAGCACCCTGCACTGGGCTCTCCCGAGCTCTGCTGGCCCTTGGCAAGAAACGGCATGGCACCAGGGATGGATGTGGACAGAGTGGCATGGCCCCATCTGACCGGAAGGACAGAGAGTTTGAGCTGTCCAGGCCCGGGGTGCCATTAGCCTAAGCTGCCCATTCTCCGGACCCCCGGAGGCCCGCTGGCCTTCTCAGCTATGCTGGAAAGAATCTGAGGAGCCATTTTCCTTCTGGACTCCCACGATAGAAGCAGACACCAAGGGATGCCAGGGAAGAGGTTGTCCCTCAAACCCCCGCAGTTTGTCCTCTGCGGTGTCACGGAAGACATCATGGCGGCCTAACCGTCAAATGTGAAGAGTTTATTTGAAGCCACACACAAATTTGGTACCGATTATCTTCCCTAAATACTTCTTGCAAAATGCATAAATAAAAATATAATATTATAACCAAGCTCGAAATAAACGCCCCCCCACCCCCGCAACACACACATTTGGCCATCATGCCGTGTGGCATTTCCTGTGGCTCCATGATGAATACGGCTGGGGAGGGCCCAGGACGCTCATGCGCTCCACGCTGCCTGGGAGTGCCGCCTGGCTCCTGCGGCAGCCCCAAGCGATCCACCTTGTCTCCACAAACTCGAGTCCCCGACCGCCCGAGTCGAGGGCATGCCGTCCCCCTGCCCAACGACCCCGTCCTAGGATGCAGCCTGCCCGGCCCCGTTCAGCATCTCTGTTTGTCAAGACTCTCAGAAGGTTCTCCCCACTCCCTAGTGTCCTGATGCAGTTCCTGTGCCTCTTCCCTTTGAGATCTTAGAGGATAAAGATGCAATATTAGCTTGCCTTGCCCCCCACCTCCTTACACAGTGCCTGGCCCGGGGCATAAAGAAGGGGGGGAGGGCGCGGGAGGGGAGAGCAGAGTCGGGAAGAAATGCCAGCAAGTGCATGTTTATTGTTCTTTGCTCTGAATAATTGTATTGCTCTTTTGTGACATTGTTGGAGAAGAAGAAACTGACTTCTGACTTTTCTTTTTATCACAAAGCTCACCAAAAACATAAGCAGTGATTTTGAAAACATGAAGGTGAAGATCGACAATATTGTCCTGCTGGATGCAGCAGGGAAAAAAAATCTGCAGGATTTCAGCTCTTCCGGGGTGGACAGAATAGATTATGGCACTTACCTGGCAGAGGTACGGCCCCTTTGTTCACGCTTGATCTTTTGGGGACAATTACAACAAACGTATGATTCTTTTTTATTTTTATTTATTATTTTTATTGAGGTGAAATTCATATAACACGAAATCAGCCGTTTTTGAGTGAACAATTCAGTAGCAACTAGTACAATCACAGTGGTGTACAGCCACCACCTCCATCTAGTTCCAAAGCATCTTCATCTTTGTCCTTTTCATGTAACCCAAAGTGTTTGAGATTCATCTAAATCCTACCATGTGGCAATCAGTACTTCTTTCCTTTGAAGGTTGAATAATATGGTTTTATGTGTATAAATAAGAATGTAGCCCTGGCTGGTGTCACTCAGTGAATTGAGTGCAGGCCTGTGCACCCAAAGGTCTCCGGTTCAATTCCCAGTCAGGGCACAGGCCTGGGTTGCGGGCCAGGTTCCTGGTTGGGGGCATGCAAGTGGCAACTGGTGGATGTTTCTCTCCCACATTGATCCTTCTCTCTCTCTCTCTCTTTCTCCCTCCTTTCCCCTCTCTCTAAAAATAAATAAATAAAATCTTTCAAAAAAAAAAAAAAGGAATGCAGATGTCACCTATGTGAGACTTCCCACCTTACTTTATAGACCCATTTTCATTGTTGCCTGTTATACGGTCAGATTTAAAAACCCCATGTCTTTGACACAGTGTTCTTTGATCTCTTCTTTTAGACGGCTAAAATGCCCACAAAAGTGCATCTCGTAACATTTGCAGATGGTCTAGAAGGAAAAGCCAACAAGTTGGTGAGTGCGGCGAGTCCGGTTACGCTCTGTAATCGCTGTCGGTGCTCAGTGTGAATACGACCCGCAGGGGAGCTACTGCTGAAGTTCCTCACGCCACAGGTGGCCCCAGGTTTACAGCCACCTCCAGGGTCCCGCCAGCAGCCACTGCTGTGGGCCCGAAGGTCTGTGAGCCTAGGAAGGTTCCCCAGGCGGCGTCGGCGCACGCAGCTCTTCCTGAACCCCGTGCGAGGTGCCGGTGCCCTGAGCTGATTTAGGGCTGGCGCTGCTCTTGCCCCATCAACACCTCCGCTGCCAGACACACATGCACACATTTTCCTTGCCGTGTAGGGAATGGTGATCGAGACACGGGAGAGTGCATGCGCTCCTTTGCAGCACCTCTAAGAAGTGGATGAGGGAAGGCAAAGGCACCCTCTGAGCCCTGTAAGATATTCCCTTTATCAGCTGCTCTGTTGGCTGGTGACTAAATGGCTGGAACTGGTCCCTTTTCGAGAAGCAGCAGAGCATGGTGATGGGGCAGCGGGGCTCTGGAGGAAGACCCAGGTTTAAAGCCTGACTCAGCCGCTGCCTCACTGTAGGACCTTGGGCAGGGCGTCTTCCCCTCTGAGCCCTAGCTTCCCGCCTGTAAGACGGGGCAATGGGATTCTTATACATTCATATACTGAACACTGTTGAGGTGTGGGTTCAAGAAAATTTGCTCAGTTGAGCCTTGGTTTTCTTATTGTAAAATGGGCATTGCTACTGTGCGGTAACTTTATAGCAGCTCTGTATGGGAGAGGGCAGAGGGGACAGGGACCGCAGCCTGTGGCACTCGGGAAGGGCCGGGGAGTGTGGGGTGTTTCCGTGAGTTGGCGTCTGGGCACGGCCCATCCCGCAGCCGCCGGTCCGCAGATGTCATTGCGCCCGGAGGGCTGGCGGTAGAAGAGGGCTCCAGGGACTGGGAAAGTGTTGATCCTTGTTTATTTCGTTCTCTTTGTAGCCTCAAGGAAATGTGAGGCAGTCCTTGGCAAGTAACGCACGGAAGATTAGAAAGATTTACGACGGCCAGGTCGTGCCGCTGGGATCGTCCATGGTAACAGTCAATCTCCAACGTTTCCCGTGGCCTGGGTGTGGCCCATTTCACCTAGATGGCTTCCGTTTAGCCTAATGATACAGTATGTGCATGTCACGTGGGCAAACCCCATGGGCCTCAGGCTGGGGAACTGAGCTATTTTAAAAATAAATGACAAGAGCCAGACTTTAAAGAAGACACATTTTCAATTTCACCTCCTCCTTTCTGCTTATTTTCCTGTCTTCCTCCACCCGAGGGCGAGCACTTGGATGAAATCTGTGGTTGTCTCATGAGTACATTGTACTCCGATTTCCATCCCTTTTACCGGCCCACCCCAAGCCATGCACTTGGCTGTGTGCTGAGGTTTCTGTGCTGGAATGACTTACTCACAAATTCTTTTCCTCCCAACCCTGCCAAGAACTATGTGAGGGCGAGGGTAAGTCCCTTCCTGCCAGCCTCCACCAGCTCTGTCTGCGTCCTGGTCAGCGTTTCCTCTCTCCTCTCTTCCATCCTCCTGTCTGGCTTTCCTGTCTTCTTGTTCTCGCCGTCTTCTGGCTGCTTCCCTGAATGCTGGAAAGGCAGCTTCTAGCAGAGAGAAAACAGAGGCTCTGGCATCAGGCAGATCTGAGTTCAAATCCTGCCTCTGCCTCTTCAAAGTCACGTAGCTTCCAGTGTCCTCATCCAGAAATGGTGGGACGGCTCCTGCCTTGCTGGAGATGGAGGATTTCACCTGCCAGAGGGACTCCGTAAAAAGGAGGAATTATTATTATGTTTATGGGGGCTCTCGTCTGCAGCTGTTAAGGGGAAGACTGGAAACGGGGTTGCAGAGTCAGCGTGCTCAGGTTTGGAGAACCATACTAGCTCACCTGACCTCAATTTCAGAAGCTTCCAGAAGTAGTTTTCACCACCTCTGTCTTTTTTTCTTCTTCTAACTTTTTAATTCATTCATGTATTTACAAAGTCCTCCTATTGCATTTTCTTAATTTTTGTGCTGTACCACAATTTTCTGCTATACCGGTTTATGCCTCACGCAAATTTGTTCACGCCTTAAGCTGGGTTTTGCATGTGCCTTGAAGGCCTTCCTTCAGGGGCCGCAGGATTCCGCGTCCTCCTCAGGACTGGGGCAACCCATCCCCAAATAGGCACGTTGCCCTGTGCACGACCTCCAGTGCAAACCGTGGCCCTGAAAACCACGGCCTGTGGGCAAAACCTGGCCTGCTTCCTGTTTTCACAAATAAAGTTTTATTGGAACCGAGCCGTGCTCACGCATTCACAGGCGACCTGTGGCTCCTTTTGGCTACAAGGGCAAAGTTGTGTGACTGGGACAGAGTATGACTCTCAAAGCCTGAAACGTTTACTCCCTGGTCCTAGACCAATAAAGTTTTCCAATCTCTGATCTGAACCACACACAGTAAGCCACTCTGGTTGGGTGACTTTATTTTAAGTAATGCCAGTCACTTTGGGCAGACCCGACACCTTGCTTGTGATGGGTTGCCCTCTGAGGCTCTAGATTACATATCCTCGTTTTCCAGTCTTCCCGCCCCAGAGGTCTGTGGGATGCACATTGTGACAGAGCCTGTTGTTTTCTTCCAGAACAACACCATTACAGGGCAAAGCTGGATTTGGTGGCCGACTTGGGGGAGGGGGTGCACGAGGTGTGTGATCTTGCTGCTTCATGTAGTGAGTTGGAAAATATTATCTATGTTTATTTACCAGACAACTCTGCATCGAAGCATTCAGGAGCTTCAACACAAAAGCAATGGATTGGGGGTAAGAATTTATTTATTTTTTCTGTCATGGGAAAGACATTTTTATAAAAGTACACACAGACTTTTAGAAATGTTGGTTTTGCAGGTACTTTACGTTTTAAAAAAATCTCAATTATCCACCCATTTTAAATGCCAAACTGGGTTTTCCTACCCTCTTTCTAGAAGTACGTCTCTCCACGCACACCGGAGAAAGCCATGCTTTGACATGTAGGATGCAAATTAAGAAGATGCACTAGTCACTTTTACTGAGAGCACGCTGCCTAACAAACAGCCTCCAAGTCTCAGTGCCTCCAACCACAGGCTTTCCTTCTCTGTCTTGGGTGGACGGCAGGCTTCTCCACGTCCTGTCCCACCTAGAGACCCAGCCCGAGGAGCAGCTTCTGCCTGGGTCACCACGTGTCTTCCTAGTGGGAGACAGGAGTTCAGAGGATGAAGGGAAACACAGGTGGCCCTTCACGCCACCTCTTTGCACCAGCACACAGCCATGTCCTCCATGGCCCATTGGCCAAAGCACGTCCCACAACCAAGCCCGTCATCATCAGGGAGGGCAGCGGGCCCACCCCTGGGCGGCCGTACCTGGGAAGGTGTCAGTAATCACGAACAGCGGATACAACCCATCGCAGGGGCTCCTTGGTTGGAAACGTTCCCACGACGGAAACTGAGCTCCCAGGCTGCGTTGTATTCAGCTTGTACCCACGGTGACAGTAGGCAACTCAGGAAATATTTCCTATTGCGTGGAATCAGCTGCCCATGGGAGCTGGTGGGAGTCAGCCCGGCAACAGGAAACTACGTGTCCTTCCGTGAGCCCTCCTCAGAGCTCCCGGGCCCCCCTTCCTCACAGGGATTGTTGCCACCCCAGGGACCGTGAACTCCTTAGGTCGCAGCCGGTACTCCGGGGCCGAGCTGAGTCTCTCTTTGCTGATGTACCAAGGTGCTGGCTCAGCTCCTTTGGAGACTGTTAGGCGTGCTCTGCTCTGGGACCATCCCTGTGCCTTTAGTCCCAGTGGCCATTTCACAAGTATGTGTTCCATGCCAAGGGAACCTGGAGACAGACGTGTGACTGCCGCGCGTCCCGCACCACCGCAGCACACCTCGACTTTCAGGGCGACAGCGTGCAGCCATGCACTGCCCTTCGCGACAAGCGAGTCGGGGTGGATATCAGCCCTTGACCCACTAGCCAGGCTGTGTGCCCTGAAGTCGCTGGGCACCTCTTCTAATTTACACCAAGCTGCCATGTGGGTTGGCAGTGGCCTCGTCCTCGTTCGTGCGACAGTGCAGAGTACAGACTTTAGAGTGAAAAAAACCCCCAAAACAACTAGGTTCAAGTTCCAGGTCTTACGCTTCCCAGCTTGGTGATGTTGGGCAGGGTCAGCGCCCTCACCTGTGAAGGGGGAGTCACAGTACCTTCCTTTCTACCTGTGAGTATTCAGTGATGCGCTTCAGGCAAAGGACCTAGCCCAGTGTCCAGCGCAAGGAACTGCTTGCTTTGGGCTCATCTCCTCCTCCCTGCCCTCAGAGGGCGGGGCTGGGTCTGTTGTCTCCTTCACTAGCAAGCTGTGCTGGGGTAGGGTGGGGTGGGGTGAACAGCGCTCACATCCATACGTGATGAGACCCTTTTCTCTCTTGATAGATGCCATGTCGATTGTTGCTGTGTTTTTCAGGTGAAAGTGCACAATATCATTTCCTCTTTGGATTCTGCTCAGGACTTTATCACAAACCACATTTCCTCTATTATTGTTCAAGTAAGTTGTTTTAATTAGCATGCCAACAAGTAGATGTGTGCCCGTTAACTACATGACTCGGTACCGTGGGCTGTAGTCATTCTAATGGTTTTCCCACACTTTGATTTCTTTCCAGGAAAGTAAGAAGTATGGGAATATGATAATTGGCTATTTTGAACATTATCTGAAGTGGGTCAAGATCTCTGTAAGTAGTTTATCTTTTATGCACACAGGGGAATCGTGTTAGGATAGTAATTTTCTAGGATAAAATCAGAAAGAAATAAAATAAAATTCCCTATAATTTGGTAGGAGATAAGTAAAGGACCTCAGATGGGGGACCATAACCAGAGCCTCCAGGACACTCAGTGCAAGTGTTGTCCGCACTGGGGGGCACCTCCCAGTCTGGAGAACACGCCTCCCATGGCTTCCCCCAGCACCCTGTGCTCCCCTTCGTCACGGAGATTCTTGCCTCACTTGACTTGTCTCCCTGAGTGAACCATGACTCCTTAAGTTAGAGCCCATTTGTATACACCTTGGGTGGCAATGAGCATGCAGCATCGTGAGTTACTCAGGTAGGTGTGATATAAACAAATGAAATGTATTATCTCACAAGTCTGGAGACTGGAGATCCAAGATCGAGGTGTTGGGAGGGTTGGTTTCTTCTGACGCCTCACTCTGTGAGTCATAGGCAGCTGTCTTCTCTCTGTGTCTTCACATGGTCTTTCCTCTGTGTATATCAGTCCAAATTTCCTCTTTTATGAGGACACTGGTCATATTGGATTAGAGCCCACCCTAATGACCTCATTTGAACTGACTTACCTCTTTAAAGACTGTATCTCCTAATATGGTCTTCAACTGGGGCTTAAGACTTTAACATATGAACTTTTGGGAGACACAATTCAGTCCATGATGGTTGCATCTCCATGAATATATCAAAAAAGTTGAGCACAGTTTCCGGTGGTTTTAAGGCAGGACGTTGCACCCAGCACTGGACTTCTGTGGAATTACGGTGTCTGGGAAAATGCCTTTTGTCATCCTGGACTCTGGCTGCCTGCGAGGTTTGCTCCGGGGTGGTGGTGGCAGCCGGGGGAGGGGCGGTGCTTGCAGCTGAGTAACTTGAGTAGGCGCTGCTGACCAGCGTGGGCTTCAAGACATCTAGTGACTCAGGAAAGTTTGGGCTACCCCTGAGCAGCCAGCCCTGAGCTTCTCAAATCTTATTCCTGGCCCTTCGCCATGTGAGCCCAATCTGCCTGGCCATCTTCCCCTTTGTTTTTGCCCCACCCCGTATTCCAGCTATACTCACCTGCCTGATTCTCTGGGACTTCTGTTCTCCATGCGCTTCCCTCTATGTCATATCTCCCTTGCCAGTCCCTGCCTTTGGTCCCCACTGTCACGCATCGGGTGGACCGTGCACTTGGTCCTCCTTCACGAGCCAGTTTCTAGATGTCTGTGCTGACACCTCCTCCCACTTGCAGAGGTGGAGGCCTCCGGGTCTCCTCAGTGCTGGCACGAGGACATCACACACGCCTGAGTAGTGGCGGAGGAAATGTATCATCATCGTCGCCACCGTCGCCGTCTAGTGGTTCCTCCACTAGACCAAGGGACCACATTTGGGTCAGATGTGTACCTGGAATATAATGCAAGCACTCCGGAACAAAAGCAAATCTGGACGGGAATGGTTCAGTTATACTCGAGCCACTCTGGGGAAATGTTGGGTGGCGATTTATACAAAATGGATCAGGGCCACACCGTGGGTTTTGGCAAAAAAGGCAACATGCAGAAAAACATACAGAATTCGACCTCTACCCTCCTTTCTGTAAAACAAACAGTGAAGGAGCCTATAAAGAGTGCATAACATAGTTTGAACTTGGAGACTCATAAGGTTATTAACATGAGTTACCTTGTAATGTGTAGGTGAGCCAACCAATAAAGGAAAAGGAAACAAGGCATACCCCACTGTCTGTACACCAGAATTTTTTGAATGAATGAATGTAGTTCTCTTAAGTCAATGGGACTGGAGCATCTGTCTGGGATCCACTAAACTTGTTTACTCTCACCTCATTAATGAGTACATTGTTCTCTGTGTTCGAAAACAGGGTCAGCAGCTACTTCTGTTTTTGTAAATAAAATTTATCGGTACACAGTCACTCCCACTTCTGTTATATTACCTGTGGCTGCTTTTGCCACGGCAGAGTTGGGAAGTTGGGACAAAAATTTATTGGTCTCACCTACAAAGTCAAAAATATTTGCTCCCTGGCCCTTTACACAACACATTTGCTGGCCCCTGTTCTAAAATGTACACTTGTTAGTTAACTAACTTCCCATTTTCTCCCAACATCTTTGTCAGATCACAAATCTTTCCCCCTTAGATTACTGAGGAAATTGCAGCCTGCAAGCCTATGGCCACCGCTTTAGATTCTGCTGTTGATGTCTTTCTGTGCAACTACATCATCAAACCCATGGTAAGCGTTTCACCTTTCAATGACCAAGGGCAGACAATAAACTCATCATCTTTGATCTGCGATGCCCGCCCCCCCGAAGACTGTACTATCCATTATAATGTAAAATAGTTTTCTACTTGGGTCTGTTATGCTTAGACCTAAAATCTAAAATGTAAATGAATGTGTTCTGATACCCAATTCACTAGACATTCATTCAGGTTATTGCCTGTGCCAGCAATAGGGCAGATGACAGACATGCAACAGTGCGCACATGGGCCTTGTGGTCATGGATTGTAGAGGGTAGTCTGTGTGTCATGGGGGCCAAGTTTTAATCAAGAACCACACAGATGCACAAAGACCTAGGTGTGTCTCTCGTTCCTTACGAGAATTATATTTACAGAAGTTGGAGGACCCTCATAAAGAAAACTATTTGTCCAGAATAGTTGGAAAGAAATAAATGAATAATCATTGGGGCACAGATAGCCAATATTCAGAAGTATTCTTAGTGCATATAGATATATTTATTTATATTTATATATAAATACACATATATACACACATATAATTTATCTAAACACACACATATATATACATATATATATATACACACATACACATACATATATGCCCATAGCTACAGTGAACTTAATTTACTTTGTGATTTAAAAGCCCATTGAGATGGCTTACGATTGGGATGGTCAGTTCCAATTAACCAAGTTCATTCCTCAGCTCCGTTCGCTCTGCAGTATACACTGACTGTCTCCACGTGCCAGTCCTCTCCTGCCTCGTTGGCTTCCAGCTGTTATCAAAATAAAGATCAGAATTCTTACTAGAATGCTCTGGACCCTGCGTGACTGAATTCCTGCCCGCCTCGGCCACAGTTGGCACTAGTTGATCACCTCTCTCGCTGTGCACATACTTGTCTTTTTTAGGGGGGAGGCCACTACTTTATATGCATCTCAAGTTCCCTGCCTCAGGGCCTTGGCACGTGCCAGGTCCACTCTCTGGACTCAGGGCTGGACACATCTCTCTCTCTCTCACCCCTCCCTTCCTCACCCACACCCCGCCCAGCTAACACCTCTAGGCCTTGTCATATAAGGGTTGAGAACAGACTCTGAATTCCGTTGTCACCTCTACATTTCCTGAACTCTGGGACTGAAAAGCTGTTAGACCTCTCTGAGCTTTATCACCTAAGTGGGGTCATTTGGATGGTTTAGTGAGAGATTACATGTAAAATCCTTAGCATTTCTGGTACATTACACACTCAAAAAACCTTCACTACTGTTAGCTGTTGTCTTAGCTCCAGTCTGGGCTCAGACATACCTTTTGTTTCCAGGAAGCCTTTTCTGGTTTCCCCAACCGGACTGGGCTGCCTTTTCTACACTCCCCCAGACCTCCCAGCTTGTCCTTCAGAGATGTTGTTGCTGCTTGAAGTGTGCATCTGTGCAGTTCTTTGATGAAGACTCGTCCTCCGTGACACACAAACTATCCTCCGCACTCCTTGACCACAGGGCCTGTGTGCACCCTGTTGTGTGTCTGTCATCTGGCCCATTGCCGGCACAGGCAGTAACACGAATGAAGGATAACTGACAGCCGCCCGTCACAGTGCATCCGTATTGCTCTGCTCATCCATCTCCCTGCCCCATGTCCACGTGCCCCTTTGTCTGTGGGGTGGACTTCTGTATGTGACTGGAAATGATCCCCACATTCCCAATATGCAGACCCTAACCCTTGGCCTCCCGGCCGCTCCCCTCCGCCTTCAGTGTCTTCCGCGCCCGTCCTGCCGCTGGCAGCCGCTGCTGACGGCCCTGGCTGGGGCCCTCGGGCGAGGTCCTTGGTTAGCCTGGTTGATTCAGAAGTAATGTCGTGACGTCCGGTCTTCACCACCCGCCCCAGCCGGTCAAACTGCCCAACCACCAGTGGCCTGCTCTCAAATAACAGGAGACGCCCTGGAGGGGAGGCCTGGGGGCTGCTGGGAAGAGTGCAGGCTGGAGCTTTGCAGCGGGTGGTTGAAATAGAGAGGGAGCGCTCTGGGCATCAACTCTGACAGGAAAACAGACTCCAGGCGGACTCACCCATTCCCTTATACCTTGGTTGTTCCCGAAAGGACTGAGGCAGCTTCCAGTAAAAGCATACAATTGTCATGAAGCTCTAAAGCCTCTCAAAACAAGGTCAAAAGCATAGGAATCTACCGATAAAAGAGTGGTGGGGAAAGGAGAACAAATTTACTGGAGATTCGGGGCCAGTACATGCCACTGCCATTCAGCACTAAACACGACCCGGAGCAAAGCAGAAGCCCAGCAGCTGAGCTGGGAGGTCGTTGTTTAGTCCACGCTGCCTTTTGCCTCATGGTGGGCTGGGCAGGGAGTTTCTCGGGCTACTTACAGCATTAGTCTAAGGTACAGGACACAGACTTGAATCGCTCCCAGGACCTGCCAGGTTGTAGGTTTACAAAGCTGGACAAGTATGCTGGTTATGCACAGCCGTGTCCGTTCTGATTGGTGCATAAGTTTAAATTATGTTGCCTATTACCCCCGCAAAGTCGGTGGTGTGGCCGTGGCAGGCTGAGGACAGATGCCTCTTTTGAAGGAAGAAGCACCACTTGGCTGCAGCCGATGTTGTGTTGTAGGAAGAAGAGCTCAGTCTGAGGTCAAACTTCAGACTTTTCAAGAAAAGACGTAAATCCAGGTGTCTCTATGAAATCTGACTTGGATGTATTGGCAACTATTTTTTTAAAATACTTAAACATTGCTTTTGAGACAAAACGTTTGAATCCAGCCTAAGAGCTCCCTTAAAGAATGGTGAGATTAAACATGGGACGCTTGTTGTGAGTCTGGCGCGAACTAAGCATCGCTGTCCGCTGTCCACATGCAGGACAAAGTCAGAAGGGGTTCGTTAGTCACCGTGACATCAAAACAACTCACAGAAGGGGTCTGAGCTCAGGCCTGCTGGCTGGCTGGCTGGCCCTCTCATCGCTGGCGGCAAAATGATGCCACTTCTGCTTCTCGTTTATAAAACAAATATAATAATGGGATCTCTTCAAGGTTTTTAAAGAGTTAATGAATTATATTAATTTGTAGCACTTCACCCAGTGGCTGGCTTCTTATCAAGTTCACCCATGGTTTCAATGAACAAAATTAGAACTCATTGAAAAAAACTGCAAAATTGAATGATTTTCCCCAAGCAACTGATGTTTCCCATTTCCCATCTTCATGCGTGCAATCCTCCTGATTTTCATTTTTTTCCTCCCTAGAATCTGTTTTGGTTTGGCATAGGAAAAGCTACCATATTTTTACTCCCGGCTCTAATTTTTGCTGTAAAGCTGGCCAAGTACTACCGGCGGATGGATTCGGAGGATGTGTACGACGAGTAAGTGTAAGCAGGTGACTGTAGAGCCCCTGGGTCCTTCTCTGTGTTGCTGCACACAAAGAACTTGTTAAAAACAAGCGCTGTTGAAACAAAACAATTTTTTTTTTTAAACTACTGTTCTTTGTACCGATTTTCTTAGGCTTCTTTTAACTTTTTTTTCCCTGTTCAGATATGTTCTTTGTACCAATTTTCAGATATGTTCAGATATGTCCTTTGTACCAATTTTCTTAGGCTTCTTTTAACTATTGTTTTCCCTCTTGCTTGATCTTCTCAGCTTCCTTAACCAGCCTTCTTGTTTCTTCTTTGCAGTTCCTCTGTCCCAGAGACTTGGCACTTGACTTTGTAACTGTGTTTGCTCGTCTGTGCGTCGATCCTGTAGTCTGCCCTTCTTTCTGGGTTCGGTGAACTTGCGCGCTTCATTTTTACTTCGCTCATCTTCTTCTCAACACGTGTTCCTTCCGACCTGGTTCCATCAGCATCATGTTAGAGCACAATGGTGGGGGGTGCAGCGGTTGAGCTATGATCGTGATTAAAAAATAATTGTCTCTCTCTCTCTTTTCTATTTTTGTATTTTATAGTGTTGAAAATATACCCATGAAAAAGTAAGCCTTTTCTTTTTTAAACCATGTCCATAGGTTGGGACTGGGGGGCTCTTTATTATTATGCAATGGACTTTTAAAATTAAATTAATAACATCTTAAAGTTACATAACAATAGATGTGTTCAGATAAAAATAAATGCCAATGCTTCTTAAAAATGAGGATGGCACATGGTGCTGAAGAAGTAAATAATTGTTGAATTAATGAAAATCATACATGTTAAGTTTATAAATATATAAAATGGTTGTTTTCATACTCGGTTTTTAAAGGGAGCACTTTGCTTTCTTTGTAGATTGAACAAGCTGTCACATGAGCATTTATACTGTCTTTGTAATCCATGATGTCAGTATTCATCTTAGAGGTAACATGGTGTTTTTTGGTATATTTATTTCTGTTACAGCATGCAAAAGGGTAATATTGATTTCCATAGACATCAAACCACTCAGAATCTATGAACAAAGCTGTTACACAGATCCAACTGCACGGGTTCTTGTTCTTCAGCGTCTGCAAATTTTGGAAAGGAAATCTGCCCCTCAGGAGTTTACAGATTCGGCGAGACCGTATGAAACACAGGCCAAGGGCCCGAGAGGGGAAGGTGCGCACGTCTGCCTTCCACCGTTGGAAGTCTGGCTTGATCGCCTGAGCCCTCTGTAAAAGTCTGAGTATGGAACACGCTCATTCAGCTTCAGCTTAGCCCTTGGAACCAGGCGTGAATTTTGTCACATTTCGTGGCATGGGAAGTTAGACTTGTAGTTGGAGGCAGTTCAGCAAATAGCAGACATGAATGTGAACAATAAAAGAATGACTTCAGAAATATGACTCCAGTCTTCTTACTGAAAACTGTATCCCTATTACAGCTACCATTTAAGGCATGTATTTTCTGAGGGTGGCTGTAACACAGGACACAAACGGAGTGGCTTAAAGCAACGGAAACATATTCTGTCCCAGCTATGGAGACTGGAAGTCTGAAACCAATGTGTCGCCAGAGCCAGCCTCTCCCTGGGAGCCCAAGGGGCGGTCTGCTGTCTCCCGGGTTCTGATGGTGGCTGGCGACTCTGTGGAGATCCTCGGCTGGCAGGCTCGTCGCTCCAATCTCTGCTTCGGTCTTCACGTTTGTTTCACTTGCCCCCTCGTGTGATCCTTACCAAATCCCTGTGAGGTCAGCAGTTCTATCCCAAATGATAAACCAAGTGGCCTGAAGCTGACAGAAGCAAGAGATCCAGCATCACACAACTCTTCAGTGTTCAGGCCAGAGAGGGTCCAGGCCCCCAGTCCCACAGCTCCTGGCTCTCAGGACTCAGGCACCAGAGGCTGGGGTGGGTCTGGTGCAGACCATTTCCTAACATTTCGAACTAAAACCAACTTAGAGGCGTCCACTGTTTTCTAATGGAATGCAATGTGACAGGCTTTCCAGATGAGTCCAAAACACAGTGAACTTGGCTGAGTAGTGGTGCAAATCACCATATAGGGAAAGGTCTTGATCCATTTAGAAAAAAGCTTTTGCCCAAGAAATGTGGTTATGCCCCATCGGAAACAGTAGGTTGTTGACAAAGCAATCTGCTTTCACAACCTCGGCAGGAGGGCAGGGGAAGGCAGGGCCGGTCCTGAGAGGGTGTTTGTTCATGGCGGAGTTGTACAGGTCTGACCACCAGACCCGACTCACCATCAGTCTGAAGTGTCCGTCTCCCCTCCTGTATCCCCTCGGTAGGGACTCCTGCATGTCCACCTGCCTTTCCTGAACTGCTCCTACCATCCCCTGGGTCCGATCAGTGGTTTTCGCCACTTCTCTGTTCTCTTCCAAATGAGCATTTAGTTGATTGCTCTTAAGCATCCCCCACCCCCATCCATGTGTTCCCAGAGTAGTTCTGAGTGCCCGGAAGGGCAATAAGGATGCTGTCCCTCCCATATGAGAGGCCTGTGTCCTGATCTGTGATTGCTGCTTCTAATCCCAGGTGCAGACACAGAGGTGGGCAGCCGCTGTCACAGTCCCTCTGAGGACTTACTGCGTTGATGCTCTCGTATCTCGCTATGTACACGGTCCATGATGCTGGAAACTCAGTGTATCCAGCAACTAGACCAGCTGAGAATGAGAAGGAACATGAAATGTCTGTTGAACGTCATGTCCATTAGCCCTTTGCTGGGAACTGTGTGGCACCATATGACTGTAATTGACCAGATACCCAAAAAATATGGCAGAGCTCGGACTCAAGGACTACATTGCTGTCGCCCAAATCTGCCACACCTGCTACCCAGGCAAATTGGGAAGATTTTCTGGTCAATTTATACACAGGGATCAACAAAATATCTGGATGAGGCACATATAGCTTCCTGTCCCCAAACAGCCCAACTAAGTCTGGAAGCCCCTTTTCAGTCACGTTAACTTTACTGTCTCAGGAAACAATCTTTGAGCCTCAGTCCCTAGTACCCCCAAGAATTGACTTCAATGGCTGACTCTGGATCTGCTCAGGACCAATGAGCCCCCCAGCCCCCTGCTTTCTCATGAGTCTCAATCTATTTCTAAGCCCGTTCCACCTGCTCTTCATTGAGCTTATTAGCAGATATTGTCAGTGTAATCACCCCTGGAAAGTGAAAAGCTTGTGCCAGTACTTTGCCATCCACTGGTGGCAAACAGGAGAATTCAGGTGTCCCTGCAGGAGAGAGTTTTGGAGACCCAAGTGATCTTCCAGGCAAACTGGTCTCTGGTACTTGGTGCCAAAGAGATTGAGGAAAAAGCATTAGCCACATCCAGGACAGAGTACTGCCAAAAGGGATTATCAATTAAGGTATGGCCACAGCATTTGGCAAGACTGGGGTGCTAGGGGCACCAACTGCATTTTGTTGGTGATCATCCACCATGGAAACATCCATTTTGGACTTCAGGTGAAACAGAAATAACTTTCCAGTGTATTCAACCTGTAAGCTGGCGATTTATTGGTATAGCAACAAGTATTACCCAGCTAACACACTGCTATTCATAGACTCTAAGACCTCCTCATGACATATGCCCTGTCTGAGCTTCATTTAGGCATTCAGTAAATATTTGTCTAATTAATTGGAGTGATAAATTTAAACTGATGGTATTGAACTGTATCATCTATAATACATATTCCTCCTCTCACATTCAATGACCAAAAGATTATTTGGATGTTGGGCCAGTTTGGGCACTGGGCCAATTACTAACATATTCGGCAACCATCCCACTGCGTGCACGAAGGATTTAAGAAATGCCTGAGAGATGCAAAAATTATGGTTGGGGTCAAACTGCTTTCAATAAAATGGCTAAGAACAATGTGAGCATGAGAAATCTCTTGCTGTATGTCTAGTTGCCAATGTGCCCAGGTCTCTGAGCTCCAGAATGATTGCAGTTCATAATTGGCATAAAGAAACCCTTTTAAGACCTTTTCCTGCCTGTAAAGCTCCAGTCTGTGCCATCCTGGCAGTAGCTGGGAGGTCTGTGGCCACTTCTTTAATGACATCTTTCTATGTTCCCTGAAGTCAGGTGGGAAAAAAATATCTGAATTATAAAGGTAGCAGACTGTTTCATGCAAAGACATACTCCCCATCCCTCTCCAGCCTTGGAATTACTTACCCTCCACTGCACACTTCCTGTGGATAGTCTGTTCTCTCTTCTCCTCCCCTGCCTTTCTCAGGCCCCCTCTGCTCCTGGAAGCCACACTAGACCAGCCTGTGAGCTGAAGTCTGACCAGGGTTTTCCCTCCTGAATTCATCTCAGAATCCTAGACTTAGTTGCCATCTGGCTTAGTTTTGAATTGTGGTGACAGTTTCATCTTTTTCTGTCATAGCAGAAAGGATCTTGTACCTGGAGATGTGGGTGCAGCTGAAAGAATGAGTTCCGTGACTTAGGAAGTCACTTATGTTGGTTTTCTAATTTTTACTTCAGGCATAAATAACAGCTACTCCATGGCTGTGTTAGAAATGTCTAATGTAGTGACACACAATGAAAGCTTTAGCCATGAAATCATGCTATGAGGATGTGAAGTATGAAAAGAAATGGAAATGTTCAAAGAGGAAGGAAAAAAATCCTCCTATACGGATCAACGTCTTCCAGTATAAGATCACCACATGGTGGCAATATGGAGTCACCAGTGCTCCTGAAAACTGGGAATAAGAGTCTTCCAATCACACATATCTAGAAGGACATAGAGCTCAACTCCCCTGGCATAACACTTAGCCAAGAACATCTGCCCTAAAAGTTGGGTAGTACAAATTTGAGTCTAAGACATTAAGTCATTGAATTCACTCAGAGGATTGTTTTAAAGAGAAAGTGAGAAAAGCTGAATGACCCTTTTTTTTTTTTTTGCTTTTATTACTGAACCCAACCAGTAGGGCAGGTCCTATTGCTTGCTGCCAACCAGGCAAAACTCCAAAGACAGAGTTCGGTGGAAAGGAAAGAAATCTTTTACTTAACAAATTTCAAAGCCTGTTTCCTCTAAGACACAAAGAAAAATCATCCTGCCACCCTCTGCCAGCTCAGTTCAAGGTTGTGCCAGGAACCTCTTCTCCTACCCAAAAGTATCTGAAACATACGTGGTTTAGCTGTCTCCAGCCACTGTCTAGCTTCAGGCATCTTTTGGAGTCTGTGTGTCCAGGCCTCCTACTTGCGGTGTGCTGTCCTGTTCCACCACTGCTCACAGGCCCACGCTGGCAACCCTTGACATGCCCCTGCAGGGGGACGGGTGCAGGGCCTGTGGCTGTTGATAGGTCCAAATGGTGAGGTGGGGGGACGGGCACAGCATAGGACCTGCCACTGATAGGCGCGAGCCTCCCCTCCACTCTCCTCTTACCTTCCCTAATGTTCAGCACCCAGGACCTCCAGCCTCCCGCAGCTGGGATGGAGGGGAGATCCAAAAAAGACTGGCGTTCCCACAGTGCTCTTCTTTTAAATGATCTCCCCAGAACCTCTTGCACAGCCCAGCTCATGTCACCCTGGCTACCAGGCGATGGACACGTGCACTGCTCCATCCCTCCCCTGTTTCCGGGGGGCACAGGTACCACCTCTACACTTTTAGATCATCTGAAGTTGAAAAAAGAGGGGTACATGTTAGTAAACCAAACCTTGCCCCCTCGTGGCTATTGGGGTAATGAGAAGTTCCAGGGAGAGGTCACCAGGCATGAGGCTAATGGGCACAGGAAGGCTTCCAGGAGAGAGTGGGAAGCGGGAGACCTCCTCTTTGAGTGTTTTGAGGATGCTGAGACCGGTCAATGCTGGTCAGCCTATCTGGCAGCACCAGCAGCGTGCTGAAAACCACGGAGAACATGGCGTTGGGCAGGAAGCCCCAGGTGGGCTGTCTATTCATATCACTCCTTTTCTTACTCTGGTGGACAATCTCTAGCTAGTGAGGGTCCCCTTCAACAGTCCATTGGAGGCTGGCATTGACTGTCAGTCCCCTGGGCATTGCCACCCTCTGTAGACACCCATTGGTTTTCAAATTTGGGCAGGCCCACCTTCCTGGTCAGTAACTAGGTATAGGGCATGCTTCTTTTGGAAAGTTATGATTTCCCAAATGTTCATGTTGCTTTGAGGGCAAATTTCTTTGCTGCTATTTGCCTTGATAATCTTGTGATTCATCCCATACCCAACGTGACATAAAAGATCACATCCTTAGAAACTGGTGGCCCAATGACAGAGGAAAAGAAAGAAGAACATCTGGCTCCAGCTCCCCCTGAAACACCTGAGCTCATGAGAGCTTGTAAACCTCTGGCCAATGTGCTTGGGCCCTCCTGGGTACCTCTGCT